CCATTGTTCCTCACTGCTGCATAACCCTGGGTGAGGGGCTTTGCCTGTGCCTGTCTTCTCACCTATAAAGTGGAGAGAACATTGATGTCTACCTCAGTGATGTTCAGTGTGGCCCCCAGACAAGCAGCATCAGCATCACACAGGAAGTTATTTGAAATGCAAATTATCAGCTCCCATCCCAGACCTCTGGGGTCAGAAACTCTGGGGGTGGGGCCTGGAATTGGGGTTTTAACCAGCCCTTCAGGGGTTCTGATGCACACTAAAATTTGGGTACCTCTTGAGAATATAGGATTAAATGAGATAAAACATGTGAAACAGTTGGTACCTGGAGCATAGGAAGTGTTCCCTACAGAATTAGCTGGTCTTAAAAATAGTTATATTCAGAAATGAGTTGAATAGTGACTGCCTCTTTAAGTGCCCTGTTCCCTGTAGGCCCACCTGGTCCACTTCACTTATTTTTACTGTCTGCTTGGGCCCTGGATTCACTGGACTTTGCAAATCCTGCCTTGAGATTCCAGTTCCTTTTCCCCAGGTCCCTTCTTTCAGGCGCCCAGGAAACTCTACCTACCTCCTTTCATTAGAAAGCAGTTGGCCTGACCTGCCACCTACCATGCGTTGACACCCAAGCTCTGCCAGACCCTTTCTGGGCCTCACACTGTGGGGTCCTGCAAACCTGGCAGACCCTGTGCCTCTCCTTTCCCCCCGCCTAGGCTCTGATGCAGGGCAAGAGCAGTTAGGGGTTCCTGGCCCCAGGCTCTGGGAGCCCGGCTGGCTGCAGAAGCTCTCCGTCTGGGCTCAGGCTGCTTTTGTTCCCCGTCCCACAGACATTTGGGCAGCGTCTGTACCAGCAGTATACTTGCTACACCGTGTTCTTCATCAGCATCGAGATGTGCCAGATCGCCGACGTTCTCATTAGAAAGACACGCCGCCTCTCTGCCTTCCAGCAGGGTTTCTTCAGGTGTCCCCAGCCCTGCCCAGCCCTGCCCTGCCCCCTAGTCCCAGCTTCCATCAGGTCCTGACCAGGGCTTACTGTAGCCAGCAAACAGCACCGAATATACAGATGTGCTGGTGCCAGGTGCTATTATTCCTTATTGATAGCTGGTCAGTAGCTCCCACCATGTGCCTTTCAACCGGCCCCTCCGTTTCATCCACTAAAAAGATGCTGCTGACAGGGCCAGCATCCACTCTTGCAGAGGAGCGGGCCACTCCCGTGTTAAATGTTTAGAACATCTCCCTGCTGCTAATGACATCTGACCTCCTCTGACCTAGTACCTTATTTCTATCTGGCCCCCAATTCCTGATGGCTGTCTTTGTCCTAAGCCTGTTCCACCCTGTGCCACCTGCAGGAACAAGATACTGGTGCTCGCCATCGTGTTCCAGGTCTGCATCGGCTGCTTCCTGTGCTACTGCCCTGGAATGCCCAACATCTTCAACTTCATGCCCATTCGGTGAGGGGTCATGAGCTGAGAGTAGAGGGTTGGGCATACGGGACACAGACCCGGGGATAACTTCACCTTGTCATCTCCCCTGTGTCTTAAGGTTCCAGTGGTGGCTGGTCCCCATGCCCTTTGGCCTCCTCATCTTTGTCTATGATGAGCTTCGGAAACTTGGAGTTCGCTGTTGCCCAGGGAGTGAGTGTGGAGACTGGGGACCTGGGGATCAGGGACTGAAATGTTTCAGAGTAGCTGTCCCGACCTTTGATCTTCAACACTTGACCTCCAAATCAAATTGCCATAACCTCTGAGACCTTGGCCCTACCCTTCCCCCAGCACTGAGTCTTTGCTTTCTCTCTCCCAGGCTGGTGGGACCAGGAACTCTACTATTAGAAGGGCCGCTGCCTTCAAGTCATCCCTGCCTCCACCACAGCCCGGTGGGGGCAAGACTCATGGAACTAACTGGACAGCCACCAAAACATCTGAGCAATCAAGAGTCCTAGCCTGTCTGTCTGTTCCTGTAGCCCATGGCACCCCAACCTTGGAGGGACCCTCCCTACTCCCTTTCCTCATCCAAAGGGGCCCAACATCCTGAAGAAAGTCCCGGGGCCCAGTCCTCTGAGCTGGCCTGGGGAAGCCCCCATCTGAGGGGTGGGGGTTGATAGGGAGGAGCTAGTAGCTCCTGTGAGGTGGGGGTGCCTGAGGGCTCTTCTTTAAAAACATGTGTGTGTCTGCCTAATAGTAATAAACCAGCTCACTGTGGTTTTTAATTTGGTGTGGCACCGTCTTAAGTGGTTTACATGAGCCCCTGGTACCTCACAATCCTACAGCTTAGGGGCTAATTTGTTCAGGGCTGTGTCTCCAGTTCCTAAAACACAGCCCGGCACATTAGGTACTCAATAACCCTTCCTGGGGAAATGAATTACCGTTTCTTTGCCTAGGGTTACAGCATTTAAAAATTTTAATTCTCACCCAAGGATATTTTTCCATTTTATCTTCAGGTAGAGTGGGAGGGAGGGAGCGATTGGGAGGAACATCATTGACTGGTTGTCTCTTGCATGACCCAGACCAGGGCTGACCAGGGCTGGGGATGAAACACAACTGAGGTATCCTTGACCGGAATCGAACCCGCCACTCATTGGTCTGTGGGCCAACGCTCTAACCACTGAGCCAAACGGGCCAGGGCCTAGGGTTATAGCATTTAAGGCTGAGATGGCTCACAGGCACTCTCCAGAGCACTCTAACCACTCCACTAACCTAAACACTGCCTCTGGGCTCTCTCCTTTCTCAGCACCCATTCTCCCTCTGGGGAAGCTCCTTGGGTGTCAAAATCTTTTCCACCTCAGGCAAACCCTGCCCCGCAACCTTTACAGATGTCTTCACTCTGATTCTACTTCTTTACTCCTTTGCGGAAGCAACGGGCATCCCAACCTACTCCTGGCCGTGAAAGTCACAGGCTCCTTACACCCTCTCACCTGAAAAGTTAAGCTTCCAACTGCCAGAAACTCCCGTCCTGGGCCCTCCACCTCCCTCTGGCCACACCTTTTCTTGCCTCCTTTCCCTTTTCTTTTCTGTCTCTGGCTGGTCCCCTGGCTTCTCCCTCCTCTTCACCCCAGCACCTCCTACCCTAATCTCAGTTGTCTCTGCAGTGATACCCATGTCTCTAGCTTCCCTAGGCATGTCTGAGGGGACCCACACTGGTCTGTCTCATCCTCCAAACCTGCTCCCATCCACTGTCCCATCAGTGGGTTCCTTCTCCTTGGAAAATGTGATGAGTCCTGGGGAAGATCTCTTCACTCCTTCCTCACCGGTCATCTCCCCTATTCCCCACCCCCACCCCCCCATGGAAAAACACACACAGCCTATTGGTCACCACCACCTCTGCTCTGCTTATTGCGACTCTCTTCCTACTTCTGCCATCCCTGTCCTGGTCCAGTCCCGGTTTTCCGGCCTGTTTCCCCACCAACAGTGGCCAAAGAGATCTTCCCAAAGCCAAATCTGACCCTGTCTTCCTCCTACCTAGAACCCTCTGTGGCTCCCCATTGCCCATGGTCAACTCCTCAAAGCCTTCTGGGATCTGGACCCTGCTGACTTCTGTCTCACAAGCCCCCATGAACTTGTTCCAACCAGTTGTTTTGCTGGAAAGGGAACCTGACACCTGCTTTCCTCCTTTTTGCCCCACTAACTCATCTTTCAGGTCTCGGCTCGTACCTTTCTTCCAAGGAGCTCAGCCTGCCCCCTAGTCTGGGTCAGCTGGCTCCTCTGGGACATCACAGCCCTAATCATTGTAGTTTAAGCCCATCAGACCCATCAGAGCCCTGATCCCTCTGGCCTGTGCTCCACCCCAGCCCCAACCACTCTGGTGTCTGTAACCTATGAAAGCTGGGACTAGTTCACAGACAGTTGGCCACCAGAAGGGGCCTGGATCAGAGTCCCTGCTCAGCAAATAGCTGTAGAATAATTTCTGCAAACTTCACTTGTCCCAATATGTGTCAAAAGCTAGGTGGTGCATGGATAAAGGTATGAAAGAGACCCCATTACATATCCACTTACCTGGGCTGGGGGAGTGCCTGCTCTAATCCCTTTTCAAGTCAAAGTCAGGAGGACCAGTCAGTCATTTCCCCAGGCCTCTCCCAAGACACCTGTGGACCTTGTCCTGACTAGGGGCAAGCGGGATGGGACTAGATAGTGGTGGTAGGTTCCCTCTGAAAACACCAAGATAGCCATAGCAGAACTGGACAGAGTGTGCACGGTGCTTTCCTAGGCCCAGGGTTAAATAACATTATGGCAAGACCTCCATGGTCTGGTATAGTGAGGGAGGGGCAACTGCCCTCTCCCATGCCCTGGGGGATCCGACTGGGAACTCCAGGACTGGAGAGCATTTTCCTGGGTGGGCAGGATTTGCATCAAGGCGGAGCTTAGACATGAGATTCAAAGCCCTGTTTCTGACATCCCTCTCAGGGAGGGGGAAGAAATGGGGCAGGGAGCTGACCCCACTGGACCAAGGAAGGGTTAGGGTGGGGAGGGTGGCTCAAATGCTCTGTTTGGCTGCAGCTATCTCTGAACTCCACAATAAGAAGACTCAGGCCAGGATTTGATCTGAAGGCATAGAACTGAGGAGCTCAGAATCACAGAAGTCTGCCCCAAAGGTCCAGTGTGCAATGGGGAGCCCTAGATGGTTGTAAGGAGAGTGAATTCGTAAGACTGGGGTTTCAGTTAGATCCCCTTGGCTGTCATATAAAGGGTAGATCAAAGGAGATTAGGGACAGGATCCTAAGAGGTGACCAGTGAGGGAAGAGCCCATGTGGGAGAGGGCCAGGTTAAGGTGGCGAGAAGTCCCCAAGAACCATCTCTTGGATTCTAGCTCTTCTCTATTGCCTGTTCTCTGATTTGCCACTGCTCAAAGATTTTATACTTCAAGCCCTCAGTCTACCCTGGGAAAATAAGGAGCGGCTCCAAGAACACAAAACATATCAGGGCCAGGTTGTCCACCTGGCTCCAAAGCCAGAACAAGGGCCTCTGGTTCGCAGGTGAGTGCGGTATTGGTAGACAGTTCCAGAGAGAGATGTAGGCGGAAACAACTTTCCAAATACTGTTTACTTCACTAAAACCTGGAGACAAAAAAAGGTATGTGAATGCCTGGGACACCAAGCCTAGGAGTGCGCGTTGACAACGGCGACATACAAGGCCAGGGTGCTGAGGGCCAGCAGCCCCGTCACTACTGCTCGGGCCAGGAGTGCCGTCCAGCTGCCCAGGGAACAAAGGTGGACGAAGGTCCTGTGGGGAAACATTACAATGAAAGAAGTGAAAGAGATAACCCACCCCCATTTGGGCCTGGCCCTGAACCCCACCCAGCTCACTCCATGACAAAGGCCTTATAGACGCTCAGGAACATCAGCAGGAGGACAGCTGGCCGGAAAGTGTGGTACAGGTCGTAGCGTGTTATCATCCACACCTGGGCAGATGCAACGATGTAATGGACCTGAAGGGAGGCAGGAAGTTAGGGCCATGTTCTGGAGAGAAGTACTGCCACCAGCGAAAAAAGGTGTGTATGAGAGAGTAGGACTGCATACCAGACTGATGTTGGAGTCAATACTCATCTGGATGTATTTCCAGTCAAACTCAATGCCCCGGGCTCCAACCCAGAGGGGCATGCAACTGAAAAAGGCAAATGGAAGGATTTTCCAGTACCCAGAAACCGTCAGCACCCAGAATTTGAGCCCCCACCCTCCAGAACCTCCCTGAAACCCAGGTGTCCTTTCTCAGGAATCTGGGCTTCAGGTTGCTGCACACACCGGGACATAATGAGCTCCGCAGTGGCCCAGCCCAGGGCAGCAACCATGATCTTGTACTCCCCTTTGCCGGCATTCCGAGACATAACAAGGTTTAGGCCTACTAGGTCTGCCACATCCACGCTGGCCTTCATGAACTCCTGTGGGTCAGGTTGAGGCTTGAGTAAGCACAGACGCCCGGGGGCCTCACTTCTGCACTCCTTCCTCCCTCCCTTGCCCTACTCACCCCAATGAAGTCATAGATGCCACCTTCCCAGGTGGGAAAGAAAGTGGCCAGGAACAACATCTGGGAACGGAAAACAGAGGTCACCTCAAGGTAAAGAAGATAAACTACGTGGGTTTTGTGGGAAGTTAGTGTGTACATGGGTCTGGGGTTCCCACGTGGAGAGGGATTACCAGATGGGGGCAAGATTACAGGACCAGGGGAGAAGACAGGTAGAGGCCTGGAAGTTTTCTGTGGTCATCACATGGGATCAGGGTAAGACCTGGAGGAGCCGGAGCAGGCTGCCCCTGGCAGCATTTGCAGCACCGTGTGGTGGTCAGTGGTTCTGAACCATGTCAAATCCCTCCGAACTGAGTTTTCTCAATTGTACAATAGCTATGCAAAAGCTGCCTGGAGGCCCCTCCTCTCTGCGCAGTGTTGAGGACCATCCCACACGGCGATGTCTGGGCAGGGGGGAGCCCTGGGTCTGGCGAGCCTGGGGGCCAGACGCGCGGCTGCAGGCGCCCTCACCTTGCACAGCTGCACGAAGAGGTAGGTGACCCCAGCCTGGACGCATTTCCAGAAGGCGTTGTACTCGGACCTGCAGGAGTGGGCGGTGAGGGCTCGTCTGGGCCCGTGCCCCCCGCCCCCCGGCCGTCCCGCACTCACAGGCCGCTGCACTTGTAGGTGATGAAGTAGGGGAAGTAGGCCAGGGCGAAGCAGTTACCGAAGTGAAACAAGGTCATGGCGCCGCCCCCGGCCCTCCGGAGCGCAGGTCTCTACCTCGCCCGCCTGGCGCCTGAGCCCGAGCCTGGCGCCCCGGCCTCCGCCGCGGCCCGCGCGGCCTTCTGGGAGCGGAGTCCACGGCGTTGGCGCGCTGACGTCACGAGCTCTGGAGGCGCGGGGCGTGGCCGACTGAGCCTGCGCGGGCCAGTCTCCCCGCGGGGAGTTGTGCTGCGCACCGCCCGCCGCCGCCGGAGGAAGTGCGCCCTGACCCCACCACGAACGGCGCAGAGACACGGGGCGCAGCTGTGAGCACTTTTTATTTCACAGGTGGCCCAGCGGCCCCGGCCTCCTGAGCAGGGCGCCCTCCTCCCCCGGGGCAGCCGAAGGCGGAACGAGAGGTAGAGGTTCAGGACTGGGAGCGCTGGGAGGCAGAGGAGGGGCTGTCCCACTTCACTTGTCTTGGCTGAACATGTAACAGAGGAGGTCCACCACCCGGTGACTATAGGCGTATTCGTTGTCGTACCTGGAGAGGGCGGTAGAGGGGTCAGGGGATCCCTCCCCACCACCCCCTGCTCCCCCTACCTTCTCCGACCCCGTCCCCTTCCCCCTTACCAGGAAATGAGCTTCACGAAGTTGTCGTTGAGCGCGATGCCAGCTTTAGCATCGAAGATGGAAGAGTGGGTATTACCGATAAAGTCGGTAGAGACAACCTGGGTGTGAGAATTTCGAAGGTAAGTTGGGGTCACAGAGCCAAGACCTCCAGGAGCTAAAGCAGGGAGACAGCACCAGAAGTGGCACTGCTGGGAGCAAAGGGACAGTGACGTCTGTTCCTCGCAGGGAAGGCATCTGCCCATGGCCTGCCCTGGGCAAGTGTTGAACAATGGGATGTTTTGTCTTGTTCACGAAGCATGTATTTATTGAGCACCTGTGTGCCAGGCCCTGGGAGGATGGCTGGAAGTATGGAAGAGAGTGAAAGGATAGCCCCCCAAATCCTTGCCTTTTTGGGGTGCACGTGCTAGCAGGACCAACATTGACTATGAAATGGCATTTCAGATGAGGAGAAGGGCCACTAAAAGAACATCTTGCTGAGGAGAGGGGCGAAGTAAAGAATTGGAGGACAGATATATATGGCCACCTAGGGGAAAAGCTTTCCAGACCAAAGGAGCAGCAAGTACACAGATTCTGAGGCAGGGAGATCTGACCTTCCCAGCCCTGCAGTTCCTATCTTGATACATTGTAAGCAGCTCCTTGGCAAGTGGGAAGTCATGCTCTCTCCCCAGAGGTTCTCCCCAGGGTCTCTTCTCAGTTCCTACCTCATCCTCGGTGTAGGCTAGGATGCCAACCATGGGCCCCTTGGCTGCTGCTTTTATGGCATCCTTAATGGCTGAGTATGGAGTAGGGCGGGCCAGGCGGCAGGTCAAGTCCACAACAGACACATCTGGGGTTGGCACCCGGAACGCCATTCCTGTCAGCTTCCTGGAGAAACCCACATCGAGGTGGAAGTCAGAACCTACCGACTTCTCTGTCCATCCACCCTCACCTCCACCTTCCTTTCATTAGACACCTCTAGGATTGAGGCCAGTCTGGTTTTCCCAGGGTGTGCCCCCCACCCTGGTTGCAGCTTCCTGCCCCTCATACCCTTTGAGGTCTGGGATGACTTTGCCCACGGCCCTGGCAGCCCCTGTAGAGGCTGGGATGATGTTCTGGTGGGCTCCTCGTCCGTCTCGCCAGGCCTTCTTTGATGGCCCATCCACTGTCTTCTGGGTAGCCGTGTAGGAATGGACTGTGGTCTTGGGGAACAAGAGGGCTGAGGTGAGGCCTTCCTGCTCCTAAGCTCCTGTGCCTTTTATCCAGGCCTGGGGTGATGAGCCAGGAGTGCAGGTTGGTGGGGTCACCACTACAGACCACAGGAGGGGCTCCTGTAAGCCAGGGTCCAGCCTTGCCTGAGCGTTACACAGGGTTTAAAAAGACCTCACCACTGGCAGGCCTTTCCTCTTGAAACCGGTCTCTTCTCGTTAACTTCACACGCTAAGCAAGTCTTGAGAGGAAGAGAGAGAGTTTCCCTGCCATCCATCCTGCCCCAGCCCTCTCCCCAACTTACCATCAGTCCTTCCACAATCCCAAATCGCTCATGAATGACCTTGGCAAGGGGGGCCAGGCAGTTGGTGGTGCAGGATGCATTGCTGAAACAGCCCAGTATGCAAGGGCACTGTGAGGTGGGTGTCCCAGCCACCCTGCCACCCTTACCTCATTCGGGGGGTATGCTCATAGGCTTGGTTTTGTGAAAAGTCAGGATGGGGACAAGAAAGGTCATTGAGGGTGCTTTCAGACTGAAGGAGGCACCAGAGGTGCAGCTGGAGGAAGCTCCCCAAGCGTGTTCTCCGGAAACCATGCATTTCTAACAGTTTTAGGGGATTGTTAAGAGTGGCTGTTAAGGCTTTGGGGAGGAGAAGCAGATGGATGTGAAAGAAGCACCCGTGGGAGTGGGGATAGGGAGGCTGAGTCTGATCCCTTCCCCGCACAGGCTGGCGTGTCCTCTGGGCACCACCCACACACTTCATGTTATTGCTGTTACCTGACAACTTTCATGGAGGCAGGGTTATACTCCTTTTCATTCACCCCCATGACAAACATAGGTGCATCTGGTGACGGTGCGCTGATGACCACACGTGAGGCACCTGCCTCGATGTGGCTCTAGGGAAGGAGGAAGGAACACTGATGTCACGAATTTATGAGACGCTTTGAGTATCACATCCCCTGGCCAGCCCTGGGCACCTCTCCCCCACTTACGGAAGCGTCCTCCAAGGACAGGTACACGCCAGTGGACTCCACCACAAAGGGGCGCCCGACAGACTTCCAGGGGATTTCTCTGGGCAGCTTGCTGTGGAGGAGTGGCAGCACTCTGTGTCAGTGGCCCTTGCATGGCCCTGCATTCGTAGTCCATGGCCTTTACTGTTTGAAAGGCTGACCGGGACACCTTCCCACCTGACCTGCAGCCATCTTTTCTCCCACCCCACACATACCTAGCCGTCCCAGATGGATTTGACCCTGCTGGTCTTGCCTCTCACCCTCACACCCCTTTGTGGGCTACTTTCCTTAGCTGCCTCATCCCTGCTATGCCTGGGTATGTACAAGCTGCCCCCTCCCTTACTCAAGCCTCATTCACCTCCTGCCCCCAGGGGGCCATCCCTGACTACTACCAACCAGGCCAGGCACTTTCTACATGTGTTGCCTTGAATGTAGACCCCAGGAGGGCGATTCCTGCCACACTGCTTCTGGTTCTCTGCGCTGGCAACCTCACCATGGCCCTTGTCTCTCTTGTCTTTACCACTCAGTTTCTACAATAGGGGTTAACTGAAGCTCGAGGCCACCCTGAGGTCAGCAGTGGTTAGTGGTTTACATCAGAAAGGTAAGGATGTTTTCAGTTTCCTATTTTATGAATTTATATTTTTACTTGATAGTATATCAAACATTTGCATTAGAAACATTAAACACTGCTGTTTTCTACTGGGCTTGTGTACAAACTTTCTTCCTCACAGGGCTTATCACAACCGCAGTATTTGCTTTTGTGAGTTTTTTGTTCCCATCTGTCTCATCCTTTAGACCACTCTGTGGCAACAGGGCTGGGTCCGTTCCCTTTGTCACTGAGCCTGTTCCTCCCACAGCGGTTCAGACAGTATTTGTGGGGTTATTTTTTATTAGCCGTCCTACACATGTTCACTGAACGCCTGCCACGTGCCCATGTTCGGAGTGCTTCACCTTTACTGAATCATTTAACCCTCACAATCTGAGGGCTAAATGCTCTACTGACATTCTTCAGAGAAGCCAGGGCAGAGGGGAAGGGTAGGAGGCAGAGCTGGCTGGGAGTACCATCAGGCTGGCCCTAGGATCTGTACTGGCTGCATGTCAAAGTGAATGAATGAATGAGTCGCTCCCTCTCTTCCCCTGGGCCACCACACCTGGTTCTTCTCTTTCCCTGGTCATCTGCTCTGTCAAGTGACACTTTTCATCATCTGGCTCAACTAGCTCTTCCCTGAGGCCCCCCATTTCCTGCCTTCTAAGTTGGGGAGGAGGGCTACTCAACAAACTCCTCTGCAACAATTGTTAAGTTGGCATGGGGCAGAGTTGGTACCTCAGGAGACCTCAGCCCTTTCCCCTAGGCTGTCAGACCCTGCCTTCCTACCAGGGTCCTGTCATTCATTCTTCAGGGAAGTACTGAGTCTGCCCAGAGCCAGGGCCTGCACTGTAGGTGCCAGAGCAACAGTAGTGACACACACTGACAGGGCTCTTCCTGCCAGGAGGCCGGAGCCTGGTGGGAAAATGCCTTCCTAGTGCTACCCACACACCTGTTCACCTTGGCGGTGCTACCTGCTGTGGATGTGGTGGATATGATCACCGTCCCCTTCAGCTACATGAAGAAACAGGCTCAAGGAACTCCAGTTCCTTTGCCCAAGGTCACCTGACCCGAAAGGGTGGAGCAGGGTAAAGTACACACAGAAGCAACATCACCGCAATGCAGCCACAGTGCAGTGGCAGAGAGTGGGGCGGAGGAGGGAGCTGCAGTGGCCTGGCAAGGCAGCACCCGCGTAGGGGTGAACGTTGAGGGGGGGAATGCTGCAAGTGGCGGGCATGACGGTGCTCAGGTCGGGGAAGGAAAGGATGTGGTGTGTGTGCGTAATGACCTTGGTGCTGGAATTGTTTTCCGTGCGATTTCAGTCTTGGGTCAAGCAGCTTCTCCCATTCTCCCTGATGCTCCAGTCCCCACCTCCAGCCCCTGCACCCAACCCTGACCACCTCACTACCAGCCTTCCTTGCCCCTCTTTGATTTGCACCCTGCTACCCCCCCAGCAAATAAAAGGCGAGGGGCTGAGAGGTCCTGCTGGGAGGAGTGCTGGGAAGGCTCGTGAGCATGCAGCACAGGTGGACGTAAATCTGCCGCAGCGGCTACTTTACACTGGAAATACAGTTAGGTTTTCTTTTTCCCATTTCATAAATGTTTAGGTTTTTTTGATGTCTTTGAAGCATATTAAATATCGAATGTTGCTTTCGACTTACAGATTCTGAACATATCCATAAATGGAAGAGGAAAATGAATACCAGTGAGAACCATGTGAATGGGTACTAAGAAGCATTGCTCAGGTGTAAGAGGTGCTGGATCGGGGTCCCAGGAGGTGGGTGGCCAGTGTGGCTGAGGTTACCCGAGAAGGCTTAGGCATAGGGCTCAGTGCTTGTGGGGCCCTACCAGGAGCTGGAATTTTATTCGTGGGGTGATGGGAGGGTTTAAGTAGGGAGGTAACGAGGCCCAGTTGATGTTTGAAAAAGCCCCTGTGGCCTGGCCAGTGTGGCTCAGTGTTTGAGCGTCGACCCATTCACCACGAGGTTGCTGGTTCAGTTCCCGGTCAGGGCACACACCCTGGTTGTGGGCCAGATCCCCAGTGGAGGGTGGGGGGTGTGTGGCTGGACATTGTTCTCTCTCATCGATGTTTCTATCTCTCTATCCCTCTTTCGCTAAAATCAATAAAGGAAAAAAAAAAGCCCCCGTGGCTGCTGTGTAGGAACTGGGTAGAAGTGCTTGGCCAGGTGGCGTTGCTGTTTCCTGGGAAGGGAGATGAACATGTTTGGGGATTGAAGGAAAATCAAGAGGTGAGTTCTAGACATGTTGAATGGATATGCCTATGAAAACACTTGCAGATGTGTGTTAAATAAAAATTATTCTTAAGTACAGTGGAGTATCTTTCTAGGTTAGTGCTTAAACACTGTAGCAGTCAGGGACTTCTCTGAGAACCCCTCTTCAAACCAGTACTGAGAGACATGTGCACACACAATCTGGGGGTTATGAACCCTGAGTGAGAGGCAGTAATCCCATTCTTGTCATCTTTAAACCCCCCCCCCCCCCATTAATGTGTTGCAGGCGTGCATCAGACAGCTGCCCTTACCACTGGAAGACACTGATCTCTTGGTTATTCACAACCAGCCGTCCGTTTTTGTATTCCACAGTCCCCTTGTATCGGCCATGGGTGGAGTCATACTTAAACATGTACGCCTGCGGGAGACAGAATGGTTCCTCATCTTGGGGGTGGCAGGGGTGGGGGAGCGAGCGTCCCTGAGGAATCCCTGCCTTGGTGAAGGTTCCACATTGCACTTGGGAGCCTCCCCACCCTGATCCTACCCTCTGTCAGCTGCTCACCATGTACTCTGGGTCAATGAATGGATCATTCACTGCCACCACCTTAATGCCTTTGTCCATGCAGGCACGCATCACCAGGCGACCGATACGTCCAAATCTGTCCAGGGACAAGGGTTGTGGGATTGTCTTCAGAATCCTCGGCCAGCAGGCAGAGGAAGGGATAGGAAAGAAGGGGGTAACAGGAGGCTCCTCAAGGGGAGTGGGTGGGACTCCTCGGTCTAGGGGAAGAAGGCAAACAGCTCTGTGTGGGCCACTGTCATCTTGCTCAGATGACCTCGCCAGCCTAACTGATTTACCTTCTTCCTCAACCATCCATCCTCTACTCCATTCCCAACCGTGGAGCTGGATGGATCTTGTAGAACTTCAGGTCTGATTAAGTTTCTTGGCCTGAAAACCTCTACAACTCTATCAGTAAAACCAGATCCAAACTCCTTACCGTGGCCTACCAGGCCCGTCTGCTTTCCACCGCACTCCTTCCTCTTCTGCCTTGCTTGCCGCACGCCAGCACACCGCATTCCTGCCTGTCCTCTGCCCACTGAACTGCCACCTCTGCCCAGAGCCATTGCTTGCTGCATAGCTGCCACTTGGGCCTCACTCCAGTGCCACCTCCCAGAGGTCTTCCCTGACACCCCGGCTAAAACTGGCCTCTCCAGTTTACCATACTCCATACTGTTCATACATCACCAAACCAGATGGTCCTAATTGTTTTCCCAACAGAATGTGAGCTCTCTGGGGGCAAAGCCCTGTCCACCTGTTCCCTTTTCTCCAGGGGGGACAGAAGGGAAGCATTGACAGAGACGTGGAGATGCCCCACGCAGGAGGAAAGCCTGGGCCGTAGGCTCGGGAAGGTTCAGGGGCCAGGGCTGACTCACCCGTTGATGCCAACAGTCAGTTCTCGAGTCATAAGAACCTTTGGAGGTGGAGGAGGTGGAGGGGGTGGAGGAGGTGGGATGTCTTCCTTGATTGGCTGTGGCTGTGGTGGTGGTGGTGGTGGTGGTGGTGGTGGCGGCTCAACTTTGGGCGCTGGTGGGGGTGGTGCTCTAGTCACTGTTAGAAGGAGTGGGGGTGGCAGTGAATTGCACCATCACAGTGAGAGAGAATGAACCATTTTTGTCCCCCAGGACCTGTTGCTGGCTTCTGGCCTCTGGTGACCAACCATCTAGCCCAGTGTTGCCCAAACCTACCTGATTCACAGAATGAGCAGGGGATGGGCTTATTTAAAAATATCAGTGCCAGCCTGGCCGGTGTGGCTCAGTGGGTTGATTGTCCCATGGACTGAGAGGTCCCTGTTCAATTCCCAGTCAGGGCACATGCCTGGGTTGCAGGCTTGATCCCCAGTAGGGGGCGTGCAGGAGGCAGCCAATCGATGTTTCTCACATCAATGTTTCTATTTCTCTCTCCCTTCCAGTCTCTAAAAAAAATAAAAAACATACATATTAAAAAATATATCAATGCCTGGGCCCCTTCCCTGGAGATTCTAATTCAGTATATTTTTAACAGTTGCTTGGGGTGACACTGTGACTCAGTGTCCTCCTAAAATTGAGATAAAGTACTCTCAGAAGTCACTGTGAGGATTAAATGAGGTAATAATATATGTAGTGCTATGACAAGAGTCTGTGAACATTCCGCATACATTAGTTATTTCAAAGATCTTTTCCTGAATGGTCTGATAATTCATGTAGCTCAGTGGACCCCAAACTGTTGTGATAAGCATCATCCAGGAAGCATCTCTCAAGGAAATCTGACTCAGTAGGTCTGTTCTGAAGCCCAAATGTTTCTAACAAGCACTTCAGATGATTCTAATCCTCAGAGAAGTTTAGGAAATATCGGTGTACCAGAACATGACACAGATGGAGACCTTTATCAGCTTCTGCCTCCCTAAACACATACCCCCACTCCCATACTGCATATTAAAACACCTGTGCTCGGAAATGTGCTGCCTGAGCTGCAGGTGAATTCCTGAGAGGAGGGGAGATGTGGAGACCATCAGGGGCCTGCCTGGCAGAGGGTTTCACAGTGGGGATCAGGCCTGGTTGTCAGCCCTGGCTCAGCTGTGTGGCCATGGGCAAGTTAATGAACCTCTCTGGCTTGTTTCCTGTCATCACATCTGACCCACCACTTGGGGGCTTCTGTGAGGACTCTGAGATCTCAAGGCTCAGTAGGTGCTGATTTTAATAGAGGGGAGGAAGTCTGATACTAAGTATTCCTGAGGAAAGGGAGAGAAGGTTGGAGAGAGGCCTGAGGATGAAGATGGAAGTTGGGTTTGGCACTAGAATCAAAGGCACCCAGAAAGAGATGGGGCTAGGAGCCAGGGGCCAGAGGGCCTGTTGTCTCCCAGAACCTCTGGGCTGTCACAGACCTTGTGGCCTGAGGCTGGGCTGTGGGTGTTTACTGTAGAAGTACAAGTTCATAAAAGTATTAGTTTATTGGTTGCAGAGACCCTGTGATTAGCGACCTTAAGGGTGTTGGCATTCCTTGGGGTTCTGTTCTGGCTGTAACAAAAGGAGACTTGTCCATCTGGGTTAAAAGTAGGGATGAGTCCACTCCCAGACGGAAACTGAGAACTCAGGTAGTCTTCCTCTCCTAACTTCCCTCAGCCTTCCCCTCTAGGGGTGGGGTCCATGGGCTGGAGAAAAGCTACCGCGCTGGGGAGGAGGAGCCCGGGGAAACTGCATGTATGAGGCATCACCTGGTAGGTGAAACACGGGCACAGTTGCGCTCTTCCAATTACAATGACCCTCCCATTTCCTGGGTTCTACCAAGGACCAGGTGCGGTGCTGAGCCCCACGTGGATGGGCTCACAGGCTCCGGGGGCAGTGCGCTACAAATCCACTTCACAGAGGGAAACCTGAGGCCCGAGGTCACGGAGCGAGTGCCGAGCGGGGAAGGGGTTTAAGGCCCATAGCCATTATCTTGTCTGCAGCAGCACCGCGTGCGGGACGGTCTCCCCGACCCTGGAGCCGAGCCTGAGCCTCGGCCCGCCCAGCCACGCGGGGTCGGAGCTTCCTGGCTGTCCCCTGCCCCTGGCTGTCAATGAGGAGGCCAGGAGGGGATGGGGTTGCCCTCCCGAAGACCTAGGTCCGGCTGGAGTGTGTGCGCGCGCGTGCGCACCTGACCTCCGGCTGGATGAGAGAGAGCCGCCTCGCGGTTGCAAGGACCTTCCCGGTGTGGGGGACCTAAGGAAAGTGGTTCGCACTCTGGGAAGGGGGCAGTGAATACACTGACCTCACTAGGTGGTCGTGAGGCTTCAGTGAGTGCACGCTTGTAAAGCGCAGGCAAAGCCCTGGAAGGTTGCGATACAGGGAGGGACAAAGCCCATCCACTCAGGCGGTTCCACCCTGGTCCACGGAGCATCGACTTTACGTGAACCCTGCTCGCCCGGCTGAACGCCGGCGACTGTCCTCAGAGATGCCCCCTCGAAAACTCGCCTCCAGCCTGGGTCCCGCCCCGCTCCTGTCCTTCCACGGGCGAGGGGCGCACAGTCCACCCTCAAGGTGGGGTCCCCGCCCCTTCCACCCTCGCTAGAGAAACTACTTTGCCAGCAAACTCGGGTGGCCGTCGGGGGAGGAGGGCTGGGGGGCGGCTCGGGATGGAAGAGCCCCGCAGCCCGCGCCGCCTCCTCCCGTCCCTCTCTCGCTCGAGGAAGGGGGCTTCCCGACGCCCGTCCTTCCCTCCGCGGGCCTCTCCGCCTCCTCCCTCACCAGGACATGGTTGTCGCAGCAGCTGGACGACGGTGACATTGGTGAGGACGACGTCACGTTTCGACATGGCCTCCTAAAGTTTCATGGCCTAGTGGCCCAAGAATTCGCCTGGATGTTACTGCGACTCGGGGCGTCGGAGCTAGTGGGGCATGAGCTTCCTGCTGTGATGCCACAGCTGACAGTCCAGTGACGTCACAGAGGCCATGGGGCGAAGGGCCCGTCCCGTCCCAGTGGGGGCGTGGGCCGTTTCCACACTGCCCCCGCGTTCCAAGGCCCCCGTTCGCGTCCAGAAGGGAATCCCACTTCTTACACCGGTCCTCAAAGCCATGCTCCTCTCTCTCCCTAAGCACACTGGCTCCGCGCTGGTCCTTGACACAGCCCGTGCCCGAGTGACCCCAGCTGCTGTGTCAGCCCGGAAGCCCCTGGAGGCCTTCCCTCTTGTGTTACCCTTCATTTAATTTTTTAAAAATAGGTTTTTATTGGTTTTAGAGAGAGGGGAAGGGAGACAGAAACATTGATTGAATGGCTCACAGGGACCCCTACAGGGGATCAAGCCCACAACCTGGGTATGTACCCTGGTGAATAATCAAACCAGTGACCTTTTGGTGCTTGGGATGAAGCTCAGCCAGCTGAGCCACGCTGGCCAGGCAGGTGTTAACCCTTGAAAAGAGATCCTCCTGACTCTCCATCTAAAGTTCTCTCCTTTAAAAACAATTTTTTCCTCATTTGTTTATTTTTTTAGAGAGAGAGGAAGGAAAGAAGGTAGAGAAAGAGAGAAGCATCGATGTGTCTGATTGGCTGCCTCTCACACAGCCCTGGTCAGGGCCAGGGAAACCTGCAACCCAGGCACGTGCCCTTGGCTGGAAGTGAACCCTCAGCCCAGGCACGTGCCCTTGACTGGAAGCAAATCCTTGGCCTTGGGGTCTGAGGGCCGATGCTCTAACCACTGAGAAAACTGGCCAGGGCTAAAGTCCTCTTCTTTCTCAGTCACCAGCTGCCATCAGCCTTACTCCCTCAACGTACTCACCTTTCAGGAAACCTCGTCTGACTTCCTGTCCTGGGTTAGATGTCCCAGTGTGCAAGACTCCTCCAGGGTTCCGCTCTGTTACTTTTATTTTTCTCACAACCTGTCTGTCTCTAAAAAATCATCCTGTACATTTGTTTTCTTACCAATGGTCTCTGCCCACTAGACCAAGCTCTGTGAGGGCAGATTACTTGTCTACCCCATCACTTTTATAGCCCATTGACTACATGAATGTTTGGCATTCAAAAGGGCTCACTTGATAAATAATACCAGAATGAATAAATAAATGTCACCTCAGGTTTCTTCTGATCCCCAATCTTTAAAAAAAATGTTTTTATTAATTTTTTAGAGATAGGAAGGGAGAGAGAGATAGAAACATTGATGTGAGAGACATCCATTAGCTGCCTCCTGCACGCCCCCTACTGGGGATTGAGCCCACAACCCAGGCATGTGCCCTGACTGGGAATCGAACCTGGACCTCTCAGTCCATGGGAGGACATTCAATCCACTGAGCCACACTGGCTGGCCTGATCGCCAATCTTAAAGCAACCTCCAAGCCATATCCTCCCATAAGATCCCACAGGATCCCATTCTTCCCCTTGTGGCTTTCCACACAGTTTGTCACAATCTAGTTAAGATTTACTTGTTCATTGTCTCTCCCACAGGGCATGCGTTCTTGTCTGTTTTATTCACCACTGGGCCTCCAGCACCCAGAACCGTGCCTGGCACAAAGCAGGCTTCTACAGATGTTTTGGGGAAGAACAAATGGACGAATGGCTCCCTTCCCCTAAAACACTTCGGGTGGGGGCTTGCTTGCACATCTGTGACTCACAGGCAAGGACCTTCACCTGCAGGGCCAATTGGCACATAGCTGTGACCAAGATTTAGGGGTGTGGGGACTTGTGCCAGGAAGGAGTCACCATCCTGTGGAGAGATGTGGAAGCAAGAAGGGGCACAATGACATAACCTTGTCCACACACCTCCATGGGAACTCAGTCTGCTAAAGCAACTGCCATGGGACAGGGTGGGGGTGAGGCCTTCCTGCTTGGATGACCCACGAGAGGTGGAACTGAAACCGAACTGGGTGTACATACAGATAGGGAGATGTCAATCAACCAAGACCAAGAAGAGATAGTAATTAAACAAAGGGGGACAAACTTCACATGTATGATCAAGGAGGGGGGCGGTGGTGGAAAGACCGTACCAATAAAACCACGACTGAAGAGAGGCCTAATTGTACAACTTGACAATAATACATATGAAAAGCTCGATGGCATTAAAAGATTTCTTAGAGACTATAAAGGATCAAAACTGGTACAAAAAGAAATGGCAAACCTGAGTAGGCCAATGACGAGAGACCAAGAGATGAGATCTATCCTCCCAGAGGCTGGTTCAGATCCCGATCTTATGACGAGATCTGCCAGAGCTTGGGGAGCAAATGTTGCCAGTCCCTGCGGAGTGCTGCGATCCTAAGCAGAGCTGGAAAGCCCGCGGCACCTCCTGAGCAGAGAGGCTCCGGGCAGGGCGCATGCTCAGAGGCTCCGTGGATCGGCAGGCACACTGTGTGTACTTTCGTGGCAAACCTCCTGGGAGGCCTTCAGGGGAGCGGTGATGGCTCAGTGACTGAAAGCATCTCCACTCACTCCAGGAGAGCAGCATGGCCATGTTACCCAAACCAGCAGAGGATGGCAGGCCAACCTCACAGAGACAGCTGCCCAAGTCCTGAACCGGACAGCGGCCAATGGGAAAGGAGCACTGAGGAGGGGTACTGAGGCTGACAGAAGATGGTAGGGTGGGGGAGAGAGAGAGGTGGGAAACCCCACCTGTCAATCTCAAGGAGGAATAGGATTCTGGAACTCCCTACCCAGCATCTCTTGGCACTGGCCAGGGCAGAAAAGCCACACCCGAGGTTGCCCAGGGACTTGGTTTTATCCCTGGAGCATGAAACTGGGAAACACATTTGATGAGCTCAAGCATGGAGAGATGGTACAATTAGTCACTCTCTCCAGGCAGCGCACAGAGAAGGCAGAAGCTCCTGGGCCTCGGTCTGGGGAGCCTGGTTCTGGGTCCAGCCAAGTGTTCGGGATCTGGGGTGGAGCCCTGGGTCTGCCGAGGGGAGTGGGCCTCGTTGCCCTGGTTTGAGCAAAGCCTGAAAACACGTGCAGATTCTCACCACACCTGGGTACCCACACACATAGCTCTGCCACCCCCACGTGCTCACACCCTGCACATTCCTTCCTGCCTGGCCTTCCCACTAGCAATCCCACCTCCACCCCCTCTCGCAGTCTCTCCCCTTGGCACCAAAACCCAAATATCTTTCACCCCTGCGCCCAAATGTACCCACCCACTGGCTCCTGTCCTTCTGGTGTCTGCCTCCCTCTAAACTAGCTCCAGACAGATATTCTGCCACAGATCTACCAGCCACCTCCTGCCCTTCCTCCTGATGCCCCTCTTCACACCCAGGCCAGACTCTCAGCTGTTCCCCTCTCCAACCCTTGCTGCCGTGTCAACACTTGGGGTTTCAGGTTGGGACTTTCGAGTCTCCAGAGGGAGGAGGTCAGGAAGAATGAGCTCCTGGCCCCCAGCCCAGGTTCTGGCTGACAGTCACCTGCTGCTCCGGGTCTGCAGCCCCTCCCCATGGCTGCCTCAACCGGCTTTTCAGGAGACACTGCATCCTGTCCGGGCGCATGGCAATCAGCCCCCTGCCCTTGCCCGAGGGCTGGGAGGCAGGAGGCTAGGGTTCTATGATGAGAATGTGATCCTGGCTCTAAAATCTGCAACCCTCCCCAAGGGACCCTAGACTGCTCTGGGGACCCGGGGACCCTCTGAGACTTAGGCTGAGGCCTAGCCTTTCTTCCCTTGGTTTCTTCTAATCCATCCATTTCTTCAACGTATAAATACTCACCGAACTCCAGGCAACGTTCTAGAAGTTGGGGATATAGCAGTAACCAACACAGACAAAGACCCTGTCTTCTGGACGTTTATAATCTCGTAGGCGAGACAGACAATTAAAAAAAAAGTAATTTTGGATTGTAGTAGTAAGTGCTATAAAAACCATAGGATGATATTACAAAGTATAACTGGGGGGTGGGGGTGGCCAGGGAAGGTTTTTTTGAGAAGGTGACATTTGAGCCAAAAACAGCATGAGGAGGAACCTGCCAGGTGAAGACCTGAGTTCTGCATACCAGATAGAACAGCCCGTGCAAAGGCCATGAGGCAGGAATGAGCTTGGTGTGTTTGAGGACCAGATAGAACAGCCAGTGCAAAGGCCATGAGGCAGGAATGAGCTTGGTGTGTTTGAGGACCAGATAGAACAGCCAGTGCAAAGGCCATGAGGCAGGAATGAGCTTGGTGTGTTTGAGGACCAGACAGAATGGCCCGTGCAAAGGCCATGAGGCAGGAATGAGCTTGGTGTGTTTGAGGACCAGTGAGAAGGCCTGGATGGCTGAAGCATTGTAAGTGTGTATGTATGTGGGGGTTGGGGGAGTCAACAAGAACAATAAAAACAAGGTCTGATGATTCTCTCAACTCCCTGACAGTGTTCCTCTCCTCCTGACTGCACCTCCCATCTTTCTAGAATCTCATTGCTGGGAAGCTAGATCCTTGATTCCCTGAGAGGAATGAAGATGCTGAGAACCAGGGATTTAAGGTGGGTTTGGGAGCGAGGAGGCCTGGCTAGTGGGTGAGGAATGAAAAGAGGAGGTAGTTGGAAGGACAGTCTCGGGTGGAGGACCTGAGCTGGGGCAAGGAGCAAAGATGCCACGTGAGTGTTCTCCATTTATGACTCACCTTCTCTTCCTCCTCCTCTTCGTTGCTCAACCTCAAAACTCCCTGGGAAATACCTCCTTGACTAGGGATCCAGTCAGTGCCTCACGGGGGTAATTGAGTCATGAGGGGTGGAGAAGAGGGAGGGAGGCAGAGGATAAATAGCAGCTTGGCTTCGCTGGTTCCTCTCTGCATCTTTCCACCCTCCCAACAATATGCGTCTTGCCAGTTTGGTCAGTTCCTGCTCCCTCCTACTGCTACTGGGGGCCCTGCCTGGATGGGCGGCCAATGATGACCCCCTTGAGAAGGTCATTGAAGGGATCAACCGAGGGCTGAGCACTGCAGAGAGAGAGGTGGGCAAGGCCCTGGAAGGCATCAATAATGGAATCACTCAAGCTGGAAGGGAAGTGGAAAAAGTTTTTAATGGACTTAGCAACATGGGAAGCCAGGCCGGCAAGGAGCTGGACAAGGGCGCCCAGGGGCTCAACCACGGCTTGGACAAAGTAGCCCATGGGATCAACAATGGCGTCGGACAAGCAGGAAAGGAAGCAGAGAAGTTTGCCCATGGGGTCAACAACGCTGCTGGACAGGTTGGGAAGGAGGCAGAAAAAGTGCTTCAGGGGGTCCATCATGGGGTCAACCAAGCAGGAAGTGAGGCAGGAAGGTTTGGCCAGGGCATCCACCATGCTGCTGGGCAGGCCGGGAAGGAGGTAGAAAAGTTTGGTCAGGGGGTCCACCATGCTATTGGGCAGGCCGGCAACGAGGCAGAGAAGTTTGGTCAGGGGATCCACCATGCTGCTGGGCAGGCCGGGAAGGAGGTAGACAAATTTGGTCAGGGGGTCCACCATGCTATTGGGCAGGCCGGGAAGGAGGTAGACAAGTTTGGTCAGGGGATCCACCATGCTGCTGGGCAGGCCGGGAAGGAGGTAGACAAGTTTGGCCAGGGGGTCCACCATGCTATTGGGCAGGCCGGCAACGAGGCAGAGAAGTTTGGTCAGGGGATCCACCATGCTGCTGGGCAGGCCGGGAACGAGGCAGGGAGGTTTGGTCAGGGGATCCACCATGCTGCTGGGCAGGCCGGGAACGAGGCAGGAAGGTTTGGCCAGGGGGTCCACCATGCTGTTGGGCAGGCCGGGAATGAGGCAGAAAAGTTTGGCCACGGGGTTCACCATGGGATTAATGAGGCCTGGAAGGAAGCTGAGAAGTTTGGTCAGGGGGTCCACCATGCTGCTGGACAGGCTGGGAACGAGGCAGGGAGGTTTGGTCAGGGGGTCCACCATGCTGCTGGGCAGGCTGGGAACGAGGCAGGGAGGTTTGGCCAGGGGGTCCACCATGCTGTTGGGCAGGCTGGGAACGAGGCAGAAAAGTTTGGCCACGGGGTTCACCATGGGATTAATGAGGCCTGGAAGGAAGCTGAGAAGTTTGGTCAGGGGGTCCACCATGCTGCTGGGCAGGCTGGGAACGAAGCAGAGAAGTTTGGCCATGGGGTTCACCATGGGATTAATGAGGCCTGGAAGGAGGCAGAGAAGTTTGGTCAGGGGGTCCACCATGCTGTTGGGCAGGCTGGGAAAGATGGAGACAAAATAGTCCAAGGGGTTCGTCCTGGGGTCAACCAGGTTGGGAAGGAGGCGGAGCGGCTCGGCCAGGATGTTCATTATGCCGCAGGACAGGCTGGAAAAGAAGCAGACAAAATAGTCCAAGGGGTCCATCCTGGGGTCAACCAGGCTGGGAAGGAGGAGGAGCATTTTATCCAGGGAGTTCACCATACTGCTGAACAGGCCGGAAAGGAGGCAGACAAAGTAGCCCAAGGGTTCTATGATGGGGTCCGCCAGACCGGGAAGGAGGCAGAGAAATTTGGCCAAGGGGTCAACCACGCTGCTGGCCAGGCTGGAAAGGAAGCGGAGAAACTTGGCCAAGGTGTCCACCAAGCTGCTGGCCAGGCCGGGAAGGAGGTGGACAGGTGGCAACAGAATGTTCATAATGGGGTCAACCAAGACGGCAAGGAGGCCAACCAGCTGCTGAATGTAGGTGAACAAGGGAGGGGAAATGGGGGTAAGGGGGGGTGGGGGAGGGAGAGGTGGAACCCTTGAGACATTTGGGGAGCCCATGGAGCCTTCACGTGGTGAAAGAAGCTTCGGCAGCTACATCACCGTGTCCTCCTTCCTCTCCTTCTTCACAAAGGAGCGGGGTCAAGCCATCTTATCTGCAGAGCCTTATGCCAGACAGTGTGAATGTGACGCAGCCCCCCCTTCAGGGAGCCGCCCTCCTAGTTGAGGAGGCCTGGAGGGAGGACCATGGAGCCTTTCCTGGGGAACAGGGAACAGTTACTGAGCCCAGATCTAGTCCAGTGGGAGCAGAATGAGTGCTGAGAAAAAGCAGGACCTCAGAGTGTGAACCTGAGGAAGAGCTTTGGAGATACGCCCTTTTCTGTTTAATCTTCATAATGAGACTCTGAGGTAGGCAGACAGGAGGCTGGCATGACTCCCCGATTCTCAGATAAAGAAACCGGAGCTCAGTGAGGTGGAAGGGGCTTTGCCAAGGGCATGCGGCTGGCACATCTTTGGCAAATCACAGGTCCAGGTTCTTTCTCTTCCTTCACACTGCCCCATCGGAGCAGGTCCCCTGGAGGAGATTTCTGATCCCCATTTATTAGAGGGAACAGATACGAGAGGACAGGAGAGGCCAAACAGGCACCAGGGCGAGGACTTGGCAATAGAAGGCTGGCTCCTGCCCGCCTAGTTCTCCGCTCTCCAGACTCCATGGGGAGTCTCTGGGGCACCATCTTGAGGACTGGCCCAGGTCTCAAAGCCCGTAGCCACACTGGAGCCAGGGTGGTGGGAGGGGAGGAAGGGACTAGGTAGACAGTGTGTCCGGTAGGAGAAAGGGCTCTGAGACAGATGGCAGGATTCACCACGAAGAGGCAGGAGAGGAGGTCTGTGATAGGACTCCAAGCTGGCTGCCGCCGCTGAGTCTCTGGGGATAGCATTAAAGATGAGGATCAACCCGAGTTAGGGATCAGGCTCCAGTGTGTGTCAAAGAGGCAGAGTTGAGGTCAGGGCTGAGGTTAATTGTGTGGGTCCTCTGGGTTCCTTTCTAGTCAGACCCCTTCTCGGTGACTGAGAGCATCTCCTTAACTAAAATAAGAGGGAATTGGGGGAAGACTAGTCAGTAGGGGTAGATGTCCTTACTGGCTTTTCTCCCCATCCCCCATAGAATTACCACAGCAACATGGCCTTTGGGTTTCTTTCTAGACAGTGAGGGGGGGAGGAAGTTAGTCACCCTAGAGGACAGCAGGTAACTGGGGAGAAGGAACTTGGGAGACCCTCAAGGGCTGAGGGGTTGTAATGCTGGTCTGCGCTTTGTCCACAGAATGGTCACTCAGGCGGATCCACCGGCCATCACGCAGGGGGCGCAACCACTACATTAACATCTGGAGTAAGTCTCACAAGCAGAGCGTAGACTCGGAGGCGGGGGAGCAGGGGCCCTCCCAGGATGATGGTGGGATGGATGCTGGGCGCTGACCCTCTTGTCCTTGAATTCCAGGCTTCGGTCAACAAGCCCTTCATCAACTTTCCAGCTCTGTGGAGGGTAAGTGCCCACACGGTTCCCGATTTCTGCTCTTTTCCTTGGGAGATATTCACACACTGCCCTCCCCAGTGCCTGTTCATGGGCAACTTCACTGTGGACAGACTCTCAGCCCTTCAGAGACCATCCAGCCCATTTCCCGGCTCCACTTGCCCCTTGCCCTTCGCATTCTGCCTTCATCTTCTGGGCTCTATTCATTCCCACTGAAATGAACACGAGCTGGTAGAGAACTCCAGGGGCGCATGTGTATCTGAACCAGGGAGAGAGGTGGCGGAAACGCCCCTCCATCTGCCCACCATCTCTCCCCATCATCTCCCCTGCAACTCCCTCCCTCCTTCCCTCTCTCCCTCAACTCACTGTAGACACCCCTGCTGCCCTGGTGAGAACCTGGAGCTCTGTCCTCTTCCGGGTTGATCCCCGCCCCCCTCCCCACCACACACACCTGCAGTATAAAGGCTCCTGTGGGACCCTGGTCCAAAGTCAAGTCCTGGCTCTGCTCTCTGGATTGAGGTCCTCAGCTGCCTGAGGCTGGGCAGAAGGGTCAGGGATTAACAGCTCTGTAGACTGCTCCTGGAACCCGAGGCACACCTCGTTTATTCCTGGGCTGGGGGGTGGCAGGGGATTCTCCGAGGCTTCTCAGTTCCGATAGCGCACCCCCCATGGCCCCTGACACCTCTGCCTGGGGGTTCTGGCTCCTTCTACTTTCTCAGTCTCTGTGCTACCTTCCTGAGGGTATTCCCCAGAACACAGGTCACTCCTGGGCCACAGTCCTGTCTCCTTCTCCTTTCTCTAGGGGGTTTGAGGGCAGAGATCTTGGTGCCCCCATGACTGCATGCCCTGCATTCATTCACTCCCTCTCTCTTCCTCTCTCTCTCTTCCAGAGCATCGCCAACATCATTCCCTGAACTGACGCACGGGCCTTGCTGAGCAGACTCGCTTTCCTGTTGTTGTATCAGCTGGAATGACTCGGAGGAACTGGGGATGGGGCGGTAGATTCCGGGAGTCCCTTAAGTGAACTGTACGGAGATTTGTGAATAAATATGACACAACATACCCTCATCATGGCCCACATGCTCCCTTAGTGGGGAGGTTGGTCTCTTCTTGCTTTTTTGAAGGAGCTGGGGGTCTGAGGTTCAGTATGGTTGAGCTGGAGATTTCAGGCTGATCGGATCCAAGAAGGCGGTGACAGGGACAAACCGAGTTTCATTAGTGTGCAAGGTCTGTGGTCAGCACCGGGAGGAGCAGCGTGCAGGGAAAGCCACTTCAGGCCAGTAGCGGGGGCCGAAACACCGGGCGCTGTTGCACCAAAGGAATAACAATGATGACTTGGATTTATTATGCAATTTCGGCTGCTAGCCTCCCTGACAGGTGCTTTACATGCATGACATCACTGAAGCCTTCCAACCACTCGGTTAGGTAAGAGGTACTGTTATTGCCATATTTTATTGAGAAGCATGTAGAGGCTCGCACAGGTTAAGAAACAAGACCAAGGTCACATAGTATGTGGAGGGAGAAGCAGCCTAAGAGCTACAAGGGATATTCTGAGAACAAAGAGGCCTTTCCTTGTTTGGCATCAGCAGCTATGGGAATCAGTGAGCAAGGAGAGAAGAAAGAGAGACATTCAGGACATCCTCTCTCCAGAAGGCTGGGGGTGTGTGGGGGGCGGGGCACACGGATGACAAGAGAGAGAGCTTCTTTACAAAGACAGGGATGGTGGCTCAGGAGGTCCAGGTTTCAGATCTGTGGATGACTCACAGCCCCGGGGAATCACCATAGCAACTACTATACACTGAGCCTTACTAGGTTCCAGGTGCTGTGTGCAAAGTCCGTGCTCTGTAACCATTTAAACCTCCCCCAACCCAAAGGCAGGCCTATGACCCCACTGCATGGATGAGGAAACGGAGGCTCAGAGGAGCCAGGGCACTTGCCCGGGGAACCCATGAGAAAGCAGCAGGCCTTCCTATCCCCAGAACCTGCTGGGGGGCCTGCATTCCCACCAGGACCACGTGCCTGTGGGCACTGCTTCCCCTGAAGGGGCCACACTTTCCTCCTACATAAAGCAGGGATGCGTGTCTGCGGGAAAGGACCAGAAACATGGCTTCCAGCTTCAAAATTCCATCAATCAAGGGACAGAGAGAGAGAGAGAGAGAGAGAGAGAGAGAGATAGAGAGAGAGAGAGAGACAGTGTTCTTGCCTTGGGGCATTTACAGGCTTCCTGAGGAGACAAGGCATGTAAACAGAATATGAAAACAAATACGAGGATGTACCAGTGAGAACTAAATGACACACCAGGGAGGGTGTGCGTGATAAGGGGGATGTTCTTGACACTTTATATTCATTGTATCTTTCCTTACTCATAGAATGTCATCCTTTTTATCACTTATGTTCCTTCTCTCCCCCTGCAATACTTTACCTTGAAAATATTTCAGCCCTGGCTGGTTTGGCTCAGCGGTTAGAGCCTCGGCCTGCGGTCCAGAGAGACCCGGGTTCGGTTCCCGCTAAGGGCACGTACCTCGGTTGCAGTTTGTCCCCGGCCCTGGTTGGTCGTGCGGGTGGCAACCACTCGATGGGTCCCTTTCACGTCGATGTTTCTCTCTCTCTCTCTCTTCCCCTCTCTCTCCCTCCTGCTCTATCTGAACAAAAAAATGGAAAAAAAGTCCTCGGGTGAGGATAAAAAATAAATAAATAAATAAATAAATAAGAAAATATTTCAAACTTAGCACAACGATGAAGAACTTCAGAGTGGATACCTGCATACCCGCTGTTTAGATTCTACCACTAACGTTTGACTATGCTTGATCACACACCAGTCCATCACACACATCTCTCCGTCTAGCCACATAGCAATACATTTTTATGCATTTCAAATATCCATTTCCTGCATTAAAAAAAAAAAAAAGGAGCATTCATCATAGCACACATTACCGAAAGTCTCTTCTGTGCTGGCCGCGGTTTCCTAGGGACTGGAGGACTCCCTTCTGAAAAGGGACTACGCAAAGGAGTCGTTCTTGCATAAAGTAAAAGCTTTCATTGTTTTTACCTGTATGCACGCTTTCTTGCTGGGTTTTGTTTGCCAACGAGATATGGGATAAACCAATATGTACTGGGAGTCAGTCCTGGGAGGCTTCTGGAAAACAAGAGCTTAGCGGGTTTTGAAGAGTAAAAGAGGCGCCTTCTGGCCTCCAGGCCTTGCGTGCTATTCCCTCAGCCAAGAATACTCTCTATACGCTCCCCTTTTCTTACTACAGTATAGCGGACTGTTTGTAACAACACGAATGGGCCTACAGGGTATTAGGCTAAGTGACATGGTCGGAGAAAAACAAATGCCATAGGATTTCACGACAGGTAGAATCTAAAAAGCAAAACAAACGAACAAGCAAAACAGAAACACACATAGATACAAAGAACAAACTGATAGTTGCTAGAGGGGAGAGGGGTGGGGGGTCAGGTGAAAAAGGTGAAGGGGAGGTAGAGGTACAGACCCCCCTTTGTCCCCCATGTTGGCTCCTCCTCACCCTTCATGTCTCAGCTCCCTTGACCACCCAGTCTGAACAAAGGCCACCTCGGTTATTCTTTCTCATGGTACACTGATTTTTTTCCTCATAGTGCTTATGACAATTTGTAGTTACATATTTACTTACCTCGTATCCATTTCCCCTCTAGACTAGAGGTTCAAAAGGAGAGGTCGAGGCTAGGAGAGGTGGAGGGAAGGCTTTGCAGACTTGGAAAGGCCTTGGAATAAATGTGAGCAAGAGTGAGGTACCTGCCCGGCCGGTGTGGCTCAGTGGTTGAGCGTCGACCCACGCACTAAGAGGTCGCCAGTTCGATTCCTGGTCAGGGCACGTGCTGAGGTTGTGGGCCTGATCCCCAATGGGGGGCCTGCGGGAGGCGGCCAACTGATGTTCTCTCTCATCGATGTTTCTCTCTCTCTCCCTCTTTCTTCCTCTCTCTCTCAAAATCAATAAAGAAAAAAAAAAAGAATGAGGCACCTGAGACAGGTAGGTGGAACCAGGCGCGGAGCAACAGAGACAGGAGGGGCCAGTTTCTGCAGTTGCAGAAGAACAGGGAGAAAAGGGGAAATTGGGTGGGACCGCACAGCCATCTTTATTGGGCACGGCGCTAAGCACTTACAGACATGATTCATTCCATCCTCACAACCACCCAGGAGCAGGTACCATGATTATCCCCTTTACAGATGATAACCCTGAGGTTCTGGGAAGGGACAGAATTGCCTGAGGCCACCCAGCTAGGAAGTGGTGCTGGCCGGGCTCTATTCAAGAGCTCGTCCCTGCTTGGGGATCTCTGCTAGCGAGGTGGCTTCCCTGGGACCCTGGGGGAGCGGGCAGCTTCCAAGTAAGTCCTCTTTAAAGATACGTTTCCACATTTGGCCCTTTCAGGAGGTCATGTGGATGTCTCCAAATTAAGCAACTGCCGAGAAAGCATTCCAGCAGCATGAACGTACCTGACATCAGCAAGAACATATACTGGGTGCTCCTGTGCGCCAGCTCTTTGCATTGTCACCTCATTTAACCCTCACATCCGCCCCTCTTAAGACAAGGAAACTGCTGTACAGATGGATTCAGATCACGGCTAGGCAGTGGCGGAGATAGGATTTCCACCTGGACTCCAGGACAGGCACTGTGGGAGAGATGAGCCAGAAGATGCCAGTTGGAGGCCCAGGACCCCATAGGAGGGAGCAGAGACACTGCCCAGACCCAAGGCCTCATCTCCTCTCCATACCCCACTCCCTGCCAAGCCTCCTCCCTGACCTCTGTGCCCCAGAGGAACCCTGTTAACACCCAAGTCAGATCACAGCCTTCCTCAGTTCCAAGCCCTCGGCCTGTTCTACCTCATTCAGAGTAAAAGCAAAGTCTTCACAATGCTTACCTCTTTCCAAAATAGATAAGGAACTCGTACAACTCAACAGCCAACACACAAACAATCCACTAAGAAGTGGGCAGAGGACTTGAACAGACACTTCTCCCAAGGAGACATACAAATGCCCTGCAGATATAGGAAAAGATGTTCAGCCTCACTAGCTATTAGAAAAACGCAAATCAAAACTACAATGAGATACCTCCTCACACCTGTTAGAATGGCTGTTATCAATAAGACAGGTAATAACAAGTGTGGAGAAAAAGGAACCCTCATTCACTGCTGGTGGGAATGCAAACTGGTACAGCCACTATGGAAAACAGTATGGAGTTCCTTGAAAAATTAAGAATAGAGTTACCATATGACCCAGCAAGCCTTCCTCTGGGTATCTTCCTGAAAAACTTGAAAACATTCATGTGTAAAGATATATACACACCTATGTTCATTGCAGCATTATTCACAGTGGCCAAGACATGGAGACAACCAAAGTGTCCTTCAAGAGAGAATTGAATAAAAAAGATGTGGTACATGTATACTATGGAGTACTACTCAGCCATAAAAAAGATAAAATACTGACATTTGAGACAACATGGATGGACCTTGAGAATATTATGCTCAGTAAAATAAGTCAGTCAGAAAAAGCTAAGAACCATATGATTTCACTCCTATGTGGGATGTAAAACTGAAACTCATAGACACAGACAACAGAATGGTGGTTACCAGAGGAAAGAGGGCGGGGCTAGTAAAGGGCAAAGGAGGCCAAAAATATGGTGACAGAAGATGCTTTGGGTGAGAGGCACACAATGCATTATATAGATTATGTATCATAGAAATGTACACTTGAAAACTATATGATCTTATTAAGCATGGTCACCTCAATACATTTAATTTTTAAAAAATGGTTACCTCTTTGATTTCAACTCCTCTTATTTCCCCCCTCTCCAGCCTCAGAGCCTTTGCCCTACTGTTCCCTCGCTTGGAATACTCTGTCCCCAGATATCCTCATGGCTCAGTCTCTCTCTTCCTTAGGGCCTCAGTTCATAGGTCACATCTCAAAGAGCCCTTTCCTGACCATCCTATATAAAACACCCACTCTGCCCTGGCCAGTTTGGCTCAGCGGTTAAAGCGTCGGCCTGCGGTCCGGAGAGACCCAGGTTCGGTTCCCGCTAAGGGCACGAACTTCGGTTGCAGTTTGTCCCCGGCCCTGGTTGGTCGTGCGGGTGGCAGCCACTCGATGTGTCCCTTCACGTCGATGTTTCTCTCTCTCTCTCCCTTCCTCTCTCTCCCTCCCACTCTATCTGTACAAAAAATGGAAAAATATCCTCGGGTGAGGATAAAAAAAAATAAAAATAAAAATAAAATAAAACACCCACTCTGCCCTGGCCGGTTTTCTCAGTGGTTAGAGTGTTGGCCCGTGGACCAATGAGTCACGGGTTTGATTCCCGTCAAAGGCATGTACATTGGTTGTGGTTCATCCCTGGCCCTGGTTGGGGTCGTGTAGGAGGCAACCAGTCGACGTGTCCCTCTCACATCAATGTTTCTCCCTCCCTCTCTCCCTTCCTCCCTCCATCCCTCCCTCCCACTCTATCTGAAGATAAAGAGAAAAATATCCTCGGGGGAGGATTGAAAAAATAAAATAAAATACCCACTCTGTCTTCTCTATTCCCTCACTCCACTGTATTTTTCTTCATAGTGCTCATCACTACCTGATATGTTTATTGTTCAACTTTCCCCACAATGAGTGTGAGCTCTCTAAGGAGAGAGGTTCTGATGAACTTGTCGCAGGTGGTCTTCCCAGTGCCTGGAACAGTCATGGCACAGGGCAGGTGCTCAATAAATATGTGTTGAATGAATCAAGTAGTGAAAGAGAGAGATGAGCTGAAATCAGAGGGTCTTGAACAGGACGTGAGCGTGTCAGATCTGTGGATGTTATCACGTGCCAGACAAGGGAGGCGTGGTGATGGAGGGAAAAAGCTGTTTGGAGTCAGACAGATTTGGGTCAAATTCTGACGACTTCATTTTACCATAATCTTTTCACATATGATCTTGTGTATGTATTTAACACTCTTAAGCCTCAGTTACCCCAACTGTCAAATGAGAATAATACCTGCCTCTTGAGGTTACAGCGGGGATTAAATGAGGTCATGCCTGTGAAAGCACCCCATCTTCTCCTGGGTGGGTATATAATAACGATGCCTCAAGATGGATTTGAGGCGACTCCCCAGGCCCAGGGATGTCTGACGGTTTTTCTCGGAAGGCAGAGCACCAGCCTGCTGGTGGCAGGGGGGAATCCCGGTGGTCTGTGAATGTGGCTTTCTGACCATGTTCCAGAGGAAGACGCCAGTTCTGGGCCGACGTGCCCCCACCTCGCACACTTGCTCATCTCCCCACTGCGCGAGGAGCACACGGGAAGGACAGCCGCCCACAGCGTGGTCCCAGCGGCTTCTCGGGTGCTTCCCTGCTTTCTGTGTATGGGCGCCATCTGGCTCTCCCCTTTCAGCAGCGATATCAAGCATTCTTCAAATAGATTACGAAAGCGAGCTAGCTCTAAGGACGATATTAGTAGCAGAGAAGGGAGAGGGCAGAGGTGTGGCACTGGGAAGGAGGGTCCCGTGAGGGAAGTGTGGGAGGGCTCGGGGAGCCTCCTGCCTGAGGTCCTGTCCCGGGAAGTGAGGGGCAGCGCGCTCAGGGCCGGGGTCTCCATCGTCAGTCCTGGAGGCCTCGGCTCTCCTGGTTCCCTGGGTGAAACGAAAACCACTTCTCTGCAGGGAAGAATGAGGGCTTTGAAAACAGGGGGAGGTCTGAGACACTGAGGTGACCGGAAATGCTCGGGGTTGGGGCTTAGGGGTGAGGCAGGCTGGGCTTGGGCTTGGGCTCCACCGCACCTGTCCTCTCTGAACCCCAAGTTCTCCGTCTCTAGACGGGCAAGAAGAAGACCGATCTCCAGGGCCGTCTGAGCCTTCAAGTACTTAGTCCAGTGCTGGACACATAGAAAGCTCTTGATAGACTGGAGCTGCAATCATCATCATTATTATTACCTCCACCATTTATTATCATCATTAAAGAGTCAGCGATGGAATAACAGGGAGGTCGGAACTGCCCAGGACAGACAGGGATTGTTTTTACATGGTAAGAGGTGTTGAATGTTACAACTTGGGGTGTGGGTGCTGGGGTGGGGAGAGAGACTGACTGGGAGGCATTGAGAAAGGCAGATGGAAACTGGCCCCTCCTGCCTGGGCGATGAATCCAGGTGATACCAGTGGCCGGTGGGAGGGCCCGGGCTCCTGCAGCACAGAGGCAGCCGTGCTCGCTAAGCAGGGATGAGACCTGGGGAGGATGCTGTTCTGCATCCCGAGCTGGGACCCCGAGAGTGTCACGCTGCTGACCTCGGGCTCCTACCCTTGCGCTAACCCCTCCTCCCTTGCTCCTGGGAGAGGCTGGGGGGTGGGGTGGGGTGAGCTGGTGCAGCGCTAGCCCTCCCAGGAGGCCGTGAACTCATACACGTGTCCCCTCCATGACAGGTAAACAGGATGGGTGCCTGGGTCAGCCGCTCCCTCCCAAGGGCTTTCCCTCCCACTCACTCCCTGGGGGTGGCTGGCCCGCCCAGCTCCGCTGCTCCACACCCAGCTCTCTCAGCCAAGAGCCACCAGGATGCTAACTGAGACCCTGATGACCACCCTCAGGGTTGTGGTCACATCCTTCCCAGAGGCCTGGGGTCCCGACTGAGACCTGAGGCCAGCCTCACAGCTCCCAGGCTCTCTGGGCTGGACGGTGTGGAGGAGGGTGAGGCCAGTCACCTCCAAGGGACAGCACGGGGGAGGAGAGAAACAGGCGAGGCAAAGACCGACGGAAGCTGAGAGAACCTCTGAGAAAGGGCACCAACCCCCATTCTGGTGCCCAAGACCCAGGTTGGCTTACTCCTAGGGTGGGTCCTGCCCCACTGGTGGGGCCTTCCCCTCCGCCTGTCACCTCGAGGAGACACCCACAGACTCTCTCCTCAGATGCCCCCATTCCCACCCTGCGCCCCAAATTCCTGGGGTTGGGAAACTGGAACATTTTTGCAGCCATCTCATTCCATTTCTCCCTCCCTCCCTGATGCACCGGCTCCCTCTCTGTTTCAACACAGACTCTCAGACTCCCAATTACAGCTCATTACCCTATCGGTGGCCGGCCTGAGTCACTGGGGGGAGGGACTCAGGGCTGCCCAGCCCTGTCACCTTCTCCCAACCTACAGTATAAGGAGTAGGGGCAGGGAGGAGGACTCTGGGAAGTCAGGGGAGTCTGGGAAAGGAGAGAGAAGGCTGCAGACTTAGACGGAGGGAAGGACTCCAGAGGAAGAGAGAACGGAGGAGGCACACAGACATAGAAAGAGAAGGGCCAGCAGACACTTGGTGGGAAGAAGACACTCAGGACAGAGAGGGAGCGAGGCAGAGATGAAGTTCCAGGGGTCCCTGGCCTGCCTCCTGCTGGCCCTGTGCCTGGGCAGTGGGGAGGCTGGCCCACTGCTCAGTGAGGGAGCAGGCGTTGAAGCAGGTGTTGGGGAAGCCATTGGACACGGGGTGGAAGAAGCCATTAGTCATAGCATCGGGGAGGCCGTGGGCGAAGGGGTTTCAGAGGCAGTTAGCTCTGGGATCAGGCATGCTTTTGGCCCAGGGGTGAGTGAGGCCCTCAGCCACAAGGTGGGAGAGGCCATCTACCAGGGGGCTGGGGAAGCAGCCCATGCTATTGGGAACTCGGGCAGTGAGGCCGGCAGACAGGCTGAGACTGTTATTCGACATGGACTAGATGCTGCCCACAGCGCCTGGCAGGGGAATCCTGGCGGCCACGGTGCTTGGGTGAGTGGCTGGAAGGAAGCTAGGTGTGGAAACGGGAGCCTGTGGGCAGCCGGGTGCAGGATCTTGGGGACCAGCTGAGAGGATCGAGGGGCCTCTTACTTGTGGTGGTCTCATCTTGGGGTCTCCACCTGCCTCTCTCCATGCCCTGTTCTGGCTCCTCTCTGGCTTAGTAGCTCTGCCTGCCCTGCCCCATCACAGGGTGATAAGGTCACTGGCACTAACTGCACACCTGTTGTCCCTGTAGGGGATCAACGGCCAGCCTTCATCTGGAGGCCAGGGCAGCTTTGGTTCTCAGGGTCACCTCGGACCCCAAGGCCAGGGCAGTCCCTGGGACCTCGGACACACTGGAGGCTCAGATGGCAGCTTTGGAGCGAACTCTCAGGGGAGCTCCTGGGGCCAAGGAGGCAGCGGAGGACCGTACAACGCGAGGACCAACCCTGAGGTAAAGTGAGCGCCCCTGCCCGGACCTTGCGGCCTCCTCTCTCGAGCCCCCCCTCCAGGTCTCCCTCAGCCTTCAGATCCCACCCCCAGTCTCGCCTTCCCTGCAGGGAGCTGTGGCCCAACCTGGTTACGGCTCAGTGAGGGGCAACAGCAACCCAAGCGCGGAGGTAAGAGGAAGAGTTGAGGGAAGAAGAGGGTGTCCCGGTGCATGTGACAGAAAGCAGGACAGACAAGAAGGGGGAGGGCAGGGCTTACGGTAAGAGGCAGATGGGCCCAGGAGGAGATGGCGTGGGGAGGAGGCAAGGGAGAGGGGCTGTCGCCGAGAAGGCAGGGAACGACGCACGTCGGGAAAGAAAGCCGGGCTGCAAGGAGAAGGAGCATCTGGCCTGTCGAGGGCCCTGAGTGTGACTCACCTGTCCCCTCTCCTCTGCAGTGCACCAACGCGCCGCCCTCTGGCTCAAGCGGAAGCTCTAGCAACTCCTGGGTAGGAGGACGGGCACTGGGGTGCTGGCACTGGGCGGTCACGGGGACTGCTCCCTGGGACTGGGTGGGCGGCCTGAGCAAGGAGGAGGGGGTGGGGGAAAGCGACCTTGGGTGCTCACCTCTGGTCCTTGCTCTGGGCCCTCAGGGAAGCAGCAGCGGCAGCAGTGGCGGCGGAAGTGGCGGCAATGGTGGCAGCAGTGGTGGCAATGGTGGCAGCAGCGGCGGCGGCAATGGTGGCAGCAGCGGCGGCGGCAATGGTGGCAGCAGCGGCGGCAATGGTGGCAGCAGCGGTGACAACGGTGGCAGCAGCGGCGGCAGCCGTGGAGGCAGTTCTGGAAGCAACTGGGTGAGTTCTGCCCCTACGCTGAAGGCAGCGATGGGGCCGAGCCGGGTCCCTGCTGAGGAGAGGCACTCCAAGGTCCTTCTGGACACTGCCAGCCTCAGGGAGGGGGCATCACCGACAACTGTCGTCCTGTGGCTCCTTCCGCTTCTGCTCCCACCTCCCCAGCCCGGCCACGCGGGCTTCCTCAGAGAGTCACTCCTGAGTCCCCAGAGGAGGTGCCCTCCCGCCTTCTGCTCACTCTGTCCCCGGCTCTGCTCCATGGTGGCCGGGCTGTTCCATCTCCTGTCTACCCTGATTCCTGCAGTCGTGGCCACTTGGCAAGTCTGACTGCAGCTGGGGGTGACACGTGGGAGAAGCGAGGTGGGCACAGAAAAGCATCACACTTGTCAGGGAAGCTCCCAGGGGAAGGGGCAAGCCGGCACATGGGGGCGCTTGGGGGCATTTACAGAGCTGTGGTACCGCCCAACTGAGACATGGGGTGCACACATGCAGCCCTGCCCCCAGGGGTGCAAGGGCCAGGAAGGGGCCTCCACCCGGCAGCCAGCTGGATTAGGGGGTTTTCCAAGAGCGGGACCCGCAGAGAGAGCACAGCTGGTCTCCTTGGGAATCCGGAGGGCAGGAGGAGGGCAGCAACCAGGACAAACCAGACGACGGAGCTGCTTTAGTGGGCTGCTCCCTGACTAAGGCTTTTACCCCATCGAAGAGCGACCCTTGCGAAAGTCTGGGAATTTGGATCAGGCTCCGACCAGGGGTTCTGGGTTCCAGGAGAGGGCGAGGGGAACGGAGAGACAGGGGCAGGGCCGAAGGAGCCCCAGCCCGCCCTCGGGTGTCAGGGGGCTTTTGTGAAGTCGGGCTCCAGGGGCCTTTTCACCCCTGGCGTGTGGTGGGAGTTGGGAAGCAACAGGTCAGAACCCCCAGTTACCCCACATTTCCAAGTACACTGGGCCACCTTGGTCTTCCCTCTGCTCTGGATAACTTCCTCAGGGAACGGCGGCTGAAGTCGGGAAGGATAGAGGGTGGGGAGAGGGGGTGAACATGGCTGGGAATTACCCCCTCCACGTCCTTTTAAGATGCCACATCCTCTTGCTCTCCCCTGTAGGGATACAACTCCGGCTCCTCCGGCTCTTCCTCGGGAAACAGCGGGAGCAGCGGGGGCAGCAGCGGGGGCAGCAGCGGGGGCAGCAGCGGGGGCAGCAGCGGGGGCAACAGCGGGGGCAGTGGAGGTTGGAACAGACCCGAGGTGAGTGCCTGGAGTTCACACCTGCACCGAGTTCACACCTGCACCGATCTCCCTGAAATCGTGGGCAGGGAAAGAAGAGGCCCCTTGGGTGATGGGAGAGTGACAGCTGGGGCTGGGGGTGGGGGTGGGGCTGCTGTGGGCGAGCCTCGGGTTCAAAAGCTGCAATTTGAGGGCTAGGATTGGTGTCTGGGTGGAGACCAAGCACAAATCTTCTCTTTCTCTCTCCCTCAGTGTGACAACCCAGGGAACGATGTCCGAGTGTCCGGAGGATCCAGGGGTCAGGTGAGAGCCAAACGTGTGGTTACTCCAGTTCGTCACCGCATCTGTGCCCACTCCCGGTCACTCAGCTCTGCTCAGCCCCACTCCCAGGGCTAATCTCCACGCCAGCCCTGTCTGTGGGGCATCTGCAATTTAGGGGACGAAACCAGGAGCGTGACATTACTAACCATCTCCAAAGGAACAATTAATTGCAAATCTTTATGTGACACACCCCACTTGACACCACAGATGGGACCGTGAAAAATCGTAGGAAAGCCGGTCCTTTTAGAAACATAATCGTTTCAGGGGTCCTACACCTGGCTCGTGAACATCATTTGGCGACCCCTTTGATAGTTGTGAATCGGCGTTTTGAGAACGTACATTCCCCTCCTAGTTATTCCAGAAACGCGGGCTTTCTCTCGGCACCTGCGATGCCGGCCGAGGCGGTGTTACGCAGTTTCCACACGAGTCACCTAGAGGTCTTGTGAAAATGTGGGTTCTGATTCAGCAGCTTGGGGTGCGGCTGAGATTCTGGTTTCTCACAGGCACTGGGTGAGGCTGGTACTCCTGCTCTGTGCCCGGGTGTGCGCAGTTAACAAGGCTCTCTGGAGAGCTCCTAAAATATCGGGGATGCTAGCCTTTTAGGAGGAGGCAGGTTTGAAGACAGCTTCTCCCCCCAGTTTGTAACTCTTTTCCTAATCTTTTGCATACCGAAGTTTCTTTTTCTATAGTTTCTGCTCTTGATAACAAAGGTCTTTATTTTCTTCTTAGCATTAGTGACACTTCTTCAGTGTCATTGTTAACTTTAACTCTTGAATCCACCTGGGGGTCATTTTGCTCTATACTGTGTGGTCCAGTGAGGCAGACCCTCCAGTTTGGATCCGATCTGTGTGCTCCCCCAGGAGGAGACGGCCAGATAAAAAGAGAAGAGAGGAAACTGGTAATGCATAGAAAAGTTCCCCCCCCCCAAATTGAACTGGTATTCCCAGCCCTGTGAATTGGCACATTTCCACCACTGATTCAAAACATCACTTATAAATACCTTAATATTTGGGGGGCGCTTCTGGAGTTCTGTTTGGTTACATCGATGTATCCGCGGTCTTTATTTAGGGTAGCTTTATAGTAGTGATGTCTCCAGTGCCAGTGCCCCCTGGCTGCTCATCTTTTTCAGGGTTTCTTACCTATTCTTAGACATTTATTCTTCCAAATGAACTTCAAGATGATCTTTTTTTAAATCCTCACCTGAGGAGGTTTTTCTATTTACCTTCAGATAAAGCGGGAGGGAGGAAGGGAGGGAGAGAGAGACATACATGTGAGAGGGACACATCGACCGGTTGCCTCCTGTACGGCCCCGACCAGGCCTGGGGACAAACCACAACCGAGATACACGCCCTTGACCGGAATCGAACCTGTGAGCTCTTTGGTCCACGGACCGACGCTCTAACCGCTGAGCCAAGCCGGCCAGGGCTTCCGGATGATTTTGACAAGTTCCAAGGAGAAGTCCATGAGGATGTTCTGAGAAATTGTATTAAATCATGTGTAACTTTAAAACAATAACCTGTGTTTCACTGTCTTGTCCCTCAGGGCTTCAGAGGTCCCGGCGGCTCTGGTGACATCAGGGTAAGGAGACACCGGTCTTGAGAGAAGGGACTGGGGTGGCAGTCAGGGGTGGGGGCAACGCTGCAGCAGCAGTTCTAACCGGGCAGAGTCCCACCTCCCGGCCGGGTTTAGACTGCAGCTCCGGGAAGGAAGAGGTGCCGATGGTCAGGGATCCATACAGACAGCGAAAGCAGAACCCCAAAGGGGCTGACGTCTAACGTAGGAGGAGACTAGACAGTCTAGTGCCACCTCAGCTCCCACGGGCTCCAGCTGGCATCACCTTCTGACCAACGCAAAACATCAGCCCAGACTGGTCCTGCCGTTTGAATGGATTCAGTACAACCGCCTGGCTGGTTCCTGCTTTAACACTGGGGGCAAATTCTTTGGTGGCAAAGGCCCTTCTTATTAAATTGTGGACATGAATAGAAACAGGTGGTTACGGTACCCAAGAGCATCATCAGTGAGCAATAGCCCCATCCACAGGGGGTGAGCCAAGGTTCACCAGGGAGGATGGAGCTCCCCAGAGAGAAGAGACTCTCTCAGGGTCGTGGGAAATCCTCAGTCATGCTCCCCCCTCAGTCCCTGGATTCAGGAGGCCTTCGCTGACCCCTCACCCCACATCCTGCCCACCTCCCCACCAATCCGTCTCCATTTTCTCTCCTCAGGAAATAAGCAAGGAAGGTAGTCGCCTGGTTGGCGGCTCCCAAGGCAATTATCAGGTGAGCAGGGATGGGCTTTAAGAGGAGGGATGGGGAGTGTGGGCCTGGGAGAGGGAAGAGAAACATGTTCTTGCCAGCTGCTCTGAATCTGTGTCGGGTGACTACCAGGAGACCCAGCAGGGGTCCGGGATCCCCATTGTCCTCCTTGACTCACCCGTTCTCTCCCTCCTTCCAACTGCAACCACAGTATTACCTCCGTGAGGGGGAAAAGCAGGTGGACATAGCAGAATGGCCAAGGGGACATTTTAAAAATCATACTTAAGATGGCAGTGTTGAGAAGTAGAAAGAGGGTGAACTTGGAGTTAGAACTGGGAGGCCAGACATCAGCTGGGTCACTTGTCATCTGCGACTCTTCAGGCCAGTCAGGTGACCTCTGTGGGCCTGGCTTCCCTCCGGGGGAAAACGGGGACAGTGAAGCTCACTGTCTCACCCCCACAGTGACCGCAGACTTTTCTGCATCATAACCTGACCCAGGGGGCTCAGGTCCAGACACTGAAGTCTGACTTGGAGGCCGAGCCTGAGGCCCGACAGCTCTAGTTTGTTTCCTCATCTGTAAAATGGATTCATGTCCACAAGGGAACACGGCAGGACAAGGCACAGTGAGTGCCTGGCGCATAGTAAGACTACGCATTAGGGGGTGGGCAGGGTTATTCTAGGAAGCGGATAATGAGTCAGTCCAGGAAGACTTCCTGGAGGTGGGGTTCTTAGGTGCTGTGTGAAGAGAGGTGGCTTTACGGAGGGTATACAGGAGTTGAGCAAAGGCAAAGATGAGTGGGCCAGGAGGAGGCTGATGGGTGGTGTGCATGACGAGATACATAAGCCTTGAACAATAGTCCCCCTTTCCCCACCCAGGGGCAAGGGTCCAGTGGGGGAGGTGAAGCTGTCGGTGGAATCAATAACTTGGTGAGTGGAGGCATCACCCCACCTTGGGCCAGGACCTTCCAGACACCCATAGCTCCTGCCCCTGCCTCTTGTGCGCATAGCGGGTTCTTGCCTTCATCCCACTTCTCATTGGCTCCTTAGAACTCTCCGACATCTTCGGGACAATTCAACTTTGACAATTTCTGGAAGGTGAGTTCAGCAAGACTGCTCTGCCCATCCATTCCCAGTTAAAAAACCAAAACTCTGTCCCCCGATCCCTCGGGATGAAGCCCCCTTTCTGTAATAACCATCAGTGTAATAACCAATAACCCCTTGACCTCTCTCGCCCTGAGCCAATGACATTGGTAGGATCCAATTTGGCCAGTCTCCTTTTTTTCTCTCTCTCTCTGCAGAACTTTAAGTCCAAGCTGGGTTTCATTAACTGGGATGCCATCAACAAGGTAAGGGCTGGAAGGCCATGCCGTTCGATGTTTGTGGGAGAGGGAGACAGAGAAGAAAGCCACACCTCTGAGCTGGGGAAATAAGGGTGATGGCCATGAAGAGCATTCTGGCTAGTGCTAAACAAACAAACAAACAAACAAACAAAAGGATGAAAACAAGAGGAAGGACAGCAGAGATCTGAAAAGAGAGGCAGCTTTTGCAAACAGCTGGGCGTTGGGGATGAGAAACGAATAGGCCTCTTTCATATCCTAACATGTAGACCTGAACAGGTCAGAACCTCAGTTTCCCCTTCAAGACCTGGAGGTTAACGGGAGAGGAAGTAGGTGTGATCCTCAGGGAACCAGAGAGGCACAGAGGCCTCGGCCGGCCGGAGGGTGGACTGAATAGTCAGGTGGAGCTACAAGGCCACGTGAGGACTGACAGAGAGAGGGGGAGGGAGGAAGCCCGCATCTGCTGCAGGCATGATAGGGGCCCTACACATACATAACCTCAGGGGATGCCTGGGGCTCAGGACCCCTTCCTTCTTCCTCCCTGCCCACCCCCTCCTCTGGCAGGGGAACCCCTGGCCAGGCCAGCGTGACACCAGCATAGTAGAGAGAGGAGACTGGAAGGAGAGGATGAGGGCAGACAAGCCAAACAAACCCCAAAGGCGACTGACCGGCAGCCAACTATGTGCATTGTTTGATACATAAAACAAACAAACAAACAAACAAACAATGCCAAAGTTGAAAAATGGTTAGACTTCACAACGTGACTTGGATTTCTGATGTCTCTTGAATAATTTGTCAACACGGGGCCCCTTTCCACAGACTGCAGTCAACTGAGGCTGAGATGCTGTGGCTTCTTGCGGGGGGCGCTCACTCTGCTGCGGCCGGGCTCCCCGCCCGTCACAGTCACTCTGGCTGCCTGACTGGCCCGCCTCCAGTTGCGTTTCTAACCCTTAACTTAAAAGAATGAAGACTAGCCCTGGCTGGTTTGGCTCAGCGGTTGAGCCTCGGCCTGCGGACCACAGAGTCCCGGGTTCGGTTCCTGCTAGGGGCATGTGCCAAAAAATAAAAAAATAAAAAAAAGAAGAATGAAGACTAGGATCCTGCCCCCCAAAACTTGTGGGGGAAGGAGCTGGTGGTAGGGGGGAGGCAAAGAGGCAGCCCAAACCTCAGGGAAGGCAAAGTCTGCCCTCTGGGGATGAGGGGGAGTGGAAGAAACAGACACAGATGTTCCCAGAGGCAGCAAGTCTGGTTGGCATGAACTAAATGAACAAAGCAGACGGTTTCTGTTTTAGAGAAAACAGTCTCTGGCAGGGCACAGCTGCTTACTGTGAACTGTGGGGAGGCCAGGCCCCTGAGCACGGGGCACTTCGGGGCTGCTGGGAGAACCGGGGCACATACAGACGCCTCCCAGAGGGCCGGACAGACATCCAGGGGGGCAGGAAAGTGAGTGCCTGCAGTTAGGCGGGATTCATTCGGGGTGACTTCCTGGAGGAGCAGATCTCAGAAGAGGGGCAAGACGGAACTGGGTGAAGAAGAGAAGGGGGAGCCCAGCTCCTTGACGGTGGGGGTGAGGGGCTGAGGACTTCCTCCAGAGTAGTGAAGGCAGGGGGACTATACATGACATTTCAGGCAAGGTGGGGGGGCAGCTTCCCACCCGAGCTGGAATATCTGGATCTGACTGGCTCACAGCCTTGGTTCAAAGAGTTCCCCGCAGATTTCTAGAGCAGGGCGTCTAATCTACCCTTGACTCTGTCCATTGCTCCCTGAAGTTCTATTCCTTAAGCTCCCTCTTAGAACCTATTTCTTTGCCCAGGATGAGAGCAGTGTTTGACCCCGTGACCTCCAGACAAGGAGCTACCGGATGGATGGGAGCCCCCTACCCGTTCTTAACACGGCACTATCTCACCACTAATCTCACCCCTCGCCCTTGAAATAAACCTTAGCTGCCCCCCACTCCTGGTCTCTGCTCCTTTCTTACGTCTCAACTGTTAACCCAGGGGGCTTGGAAGGGGTGTCTCAGCTGTGGGAGGTGAGCTGGGGGTGGGATGGCCCGTGACGAGGCAGGAGTTGCGGGCAGGGCTCGGTCCTGAGGCTTTGCAGCAGTTACGTGCAGTCGAAGGGGAGAGTGGGACCCAGGGGAACACGGTGTCTGTGCCAGGGAAGGATGGTTGACGGCTCCAGAGAGCTAGCTTCCCTCTTCCTCTGTCTGCAAGAATAGTTTTCTGATCCCTAAAGACACCCCGCTTCCCCCCAAACCGTGGTCACAATGCCAAGTGTGAAGGCTGAGACATGGTGGGAGCAGGACCGCAGGGGTTTAGGTGACCCGGGGTCCAGCTCTCTGCTAACCTGCCCCCCACTTTCATCCACAGGGCCAAGTCCCATCCCCCAGCACTCGCGCCCTCCTGTACTTCAGTCGACTCTGGGAGGTAGGACAAGTCTCACTTTCTTAAGAGCTGGGCTCCTGGTCATCCTGTCCCTCTTTCCACCTCCCCCAAGGCAGCCAACCCCAAGTGGCAGCCTATACCCGGCACAAAACTCCCCCTCTGTTTCTTTCGGAGATGGGTGCTCTCACCCAAACCTTATCACGAATACCATCAGAAATTCTGACACCCTCGATGAGCTTATCTTCATCTAACCCCAGCCGCACCCAGGCTCCAAAACCCATTCTTCTGTGTGGTCATGAAACTTTCCCAACGAGCCACCACGCCCCAGCCTCTGCCTTGTGCCTCCCTGTGGCCCACGCCCCCTGCTCTCTCCTTCTTCCTCCAGGATTTCAAACACAACACTCCTTTCCTGAACTGGAAAGCCATTATTGAGGTAAGGGCAGCAGAAACTCTCGTTTTGGGGTCAGGAAGCTCAGCCCTGGGGGGGTGGGGTTCTGGGTCCCCGGGAATGGCTTGCAGCTTGTCCGGGTTCCCTGTCCTCTCTGCGGAGGGAGAGCACACCCCTTCCTTCCCACCTTCCCTGACGGGACACCGCGAGTAGGGGAGGGTGGGGGAGAGGAGCTGAGAGTCACCGAAGCACAGCGGGGTGGCAGGTCCTCCTTAGGATAAAAGCCCAGGCTGAGGGCTCTCACAGGCCCAGGAACACGAGGCTGGTCACTGTCTCGGCTCCGCTGCTGCTCTTGCTGAGCATGGCCTGGTCAGGGGAGCCAGCACTGGGTGGGTACTGCAGGGTGGGGACCATGAGGTGGGGAGGGGGGAATCCAGGACTGGAAAGGGGGGCACTAGGAAGGAAAGCAGAAGGGAAACAGCAGGTATGGGGGGAGGGGGCAGGTCATTGTCAACTGCAGGCAGGTGCGCAGGGTCTAACTATGTGGGTTCTGGGAAGGATGGGCAGGACTTCTGGGTCTCCAGAAAGCCACACCTCGATTCTGCATGGCTAGTGGCTGATCCCCTAGGCGCTGAGGCAAGGGCTGCCCACTCACTCGTCCACGGGCCGGGCACGTGAGGCTGGACAGGTGGGAACCTGCAAGGGAGGGAGGGGCCGAGGCCTTCCAGCCACGCGTGGCCACGGATCCAGGCAGCGCCGGTGTGACCACGCCGCCGGATTCTTCACAAAAAGTTCGAAATCTGATTTTTAATTGCTCGCAACTAAATTCACTTTAAAACATGCAAACTAAGTGAAAGATGTCTGGAGGCCGGTGGTCAACCAGTTTGGGACCTCAGTGTTCGGGCTCACAGGGTGGTTGAAACTCGGTGTCAGGTGCAGAGTGAAGCCAGAGCTAAGAACAGACTAGCCCTGTGTGACAGCGGTGCTCTAGGAGGGACCTGTTGACGGAAGGAACTAAACTTCTCTCCCCTGCTTAGAAGCTTCCCGGCCTCTACTGGGAGGGGTGCCGGGCATTCGCGTGCTCACTAGTTTCATCTGCTCCCTGTGCTTCTCCCCTGTGACCCAGGGCTAGCGTCACACACTTCCTTCTGCCTCTGGGGGAACAGCGTTTGTGAACTGGGATAAAAGGGCCTAGGAGGGGAGCCGGGTTTGGTGTCAGCAAACTCTGGGGCTGGGGGGCCCGGGGCTGCCGCCATGGGAACCTGTGTGGGCACCAGGCATCTGTCATTCTAGCTTGGTCTCGGGCCAGCCTGCCCGTGTTCTAGGTGCCTGGGCGGGGATGGTGTTGCTAAACGCAGTTCTCTACCCCACTCCCCGGCCCTGCGTGTGGAAACCCGCCCGTATCTTTCTGGGCCATCACTTTCCTGCAGGCTCACTGGCCACTCTGCGGGCAGCTCTGTGGACCCCTGAGCGGGGTGGCGGGTGGGGGGATGCTGGTGCTCCAAAGAAGGGCAGAGCCCGGGGAGCAGGATGCGGGAGTCCCACAGATCGGAAAGACCCTGGAGACGCCCTAAGTTTGGCGCCCTCTTTCTTCCAGGGTGACTACCCGTCATCATCGCTGCAGAAGAGAGCAGGCGGTGCTGACCAGGTAAGTCTCTGCCCGCGGACCGACCTGGGAGACCCTTGGTCCCGCCCTCTCAGTCTTTTGTTCCTGGGTCTGGCCAATCTGAAATCCTCCTCCTTTGCTCCTCGTTCGGTAGTTTTCTCAGCCTGGTGCGGGATGGCAGGAGGTAGCAGCTGAAACTTCTAAGGTAAGATACCTGCCGCGTGACCGCCCAATGTGGACCTCACTTCCTTCCTTGGTCTCCTTCCCCCGCTTCCCAAGTAACACTTGAGCTGGGAGGGGGAAGGAGGCAGAGCCATTTGGGCTATAGGACCATAAAGAGGTGAGCAGGTGGACTGTGGATGGTTGAAGAAGGTTCTAGAAAAGAAACCACATGACACTCAGAGAGACGAGAAGGCAGGGGCTTTGAGAAAGGCCCAGACAAGGCAGAGAGGTGGGGTGTTCATTCCAGAGGGAAATGCCTTCATCCCGCCCCGCCCCCTGCTTTGTTTTGCAGAACCACAATTACAACCAGCAGGTGTACCCTACTGCTTCTAGCGGGCAGTACGCAGCCAAGGCCCCAGCCAAGGTAAGACGTGCACTTACCCTGTGTTCCCACTGGGGTCTCTGCGTGGAGGTGAGGCGGGGAGCTCTCACCGCCAGGGTTCTCTGCATGGGTTAGCGGGGGCCAAAGGTCATGTCTCTCCACACCTCCTATCTTCCCCAAGAGCAGTTTGGAAGTGGAGAGAAGAAGGTTCAGGCTTTTTATACCACACTCAAGTAAGGTTACAGGGGAGCAGTGGCTACATCATGGGGAAACCCGGGAACTTCTCTCCTGTCGAAGAGAAATCTGTGCTCCTCACAAAGGTCCCAGAAACCTGGCGAGCAAACAGTCCTCTGTAGCAGGCTCTCTACCTCTAACTGCTGACCTTGCGGTGGGCGGGAGGAGAGCCAACCCAGGAACTCTTGGTTGGTGGGAAATGGATGCTTCATTCCACAAAGGAAATAAACAAAGATCGCTTGAGAATGTTGTTGCAGTCAGTTGCAAACAAGGCGGTCTGATAAATTCCGTAAACGAAGGTGCTACATACTGATTGGGCGTAAATGAAGGTGCTACATACTGATTGGGCGTAAATGAAGGTGCTACATACTGATTGGGCGTAAATGAAGGTGCTACATACTGATTGGGCGTAAATGAAGGTGCTACATACTGATTGGGCGGGTGAGGCAAAAACCAGTGGCATTTTCCTCCACCTCTCAGAACAACGAAGCTCTGTCCTCACGGAGAGGCCTTGCACTGAGGTTAGAAACCCTCTGCTGGCAGAGAGGCAAAGAGGCAGCCATAGTGCCCATCACTGGTGGCCAATCTCCAGCCACCACTTGAAGGTGGAGGGAGACCTCCCTATTCCCGGTCACTCCCCGTGGGCAGCGTGTGCGAAGGGACCACATTCAGCATCATCTTGGGGAACATGTACTTTGAATAATAAATTCTGCTGTGAAAAATATTCCGTGGGCTGAAGGTCCACAGTTAGACCAAAGGACCTTTGAGACAAACTGGTGTGAGCCTGCCCCTTCCATGGGGCCCCGCCTGAACCCCAAGAACATGACAGAGTCGAGAGGCCACTGTAGCCCCCACATCACCCACTCTGATCTTCTCTTTCCAGGGGGGAGTCTCGGTTTCTTCCTCGGTAAGTACTGAGCAAAGGAAATCCGGTTTGTGAGAGAAGGGGTCTGAGGCCAGAGGTTGTGCAGGGGACCTGCGCTGTCACTCAGACACTCTCCCTGTCCTGCAGGCGTCCCGGGTGCAACCTGGCCTGCTGAAGTGGGTGAAGTTCTGGTAGGTGAGTGTTAGAGGGAGCCACGCTCAGCTGCATCCAGGAGCTAAGGCTCCATCACCCAGGGGCAGGGCTGGGATCATGGCATTTGCTTAGCTCTGGGTGGATACTCTAAAGGTACTGAGGAGGTAAGCTCCTAAGCTATGATCTACTCAGAAAGCACCTCTGAGAGCTGAGTGAAGGCCTGATGGAAGTGGGAGCATGCAGGGACAGGTACAAGAAGAAGAAAAATGGTACACAGGTTAAGGAGAGGGATGGGATGGGAACTGTAGAGAGGTGAGCCTTTCAGGTGTAAAGGGTCAGAGGCAGGAGGAAGAAGTGAGTCCCCAGGTGGGGAGAAGTCATAGTTAACTTGGCAGAACCACACAACCTGTTATAGGGGATGGCGGGTGAAACAGGTAAGACACAAAGGAACCGTGGGCGTGCAGAAGCTGGAGGAAAGGACACCTGGTTTCGACCAGTTTGGGAGTAGTCACGTTCTAGCATTTGCTCTCTTCTTTTCTTCTAGAAAACTACTCCCAATGACACCCGAGGCCCTGAAAAGCATCAGTCATCAAGGAGCCCAACTGCGCCCCTCCCCCAGCCCTCCCTCTGTGCCAGGCCTGGTCTGGGTGTTGACACCTGCTCTTTCTAGGTTGGGGACCTGGTCTGTCTGCCTCTTGTTTCCTCCCATCCCATGTGGTCTCCTTGACCACGAGCCTCAACGAATAAACCAGCCGCTTTCTCTACCGACTCCATTTGTGACCTGAAGTCACTGACAATCTTTCAGGAGGAGCTTCCCACTTTGAGTTTCTCTGTGGAAATAAAACATAAACCTTGTTTCTCTAACACTTTTGCAAATTTTATTCTTCAAACACTATATTGATGGCCTGGATCAAGGAACAGGGAAAAATGTTTAGGGACAGATTATCTGCCTTCCTCCTGAGACTGATATACAAAATGCTGGTTTGAGCCCTGGCTGGTTTGGCTCAGCGGTTAGAGCATCGGCCCGCGGACCAGAGAGACCTGGGTTTGGTTCCTGCTAAGGGCACGTTCCTCAGTTGTAGTTTGTACCCGGCCCCGGATGGGGTCGTGTGAGTGGCAACTAGTCGATGTGTCTCTCTCACGTGGGTGTTTCTCTCTCTCTCTTCCTCCTGCTCTATCTGAAGATAAATGCAAAAAAAAAAAAAAAAGTCCTTGGGTGAGGATTTAAAAAAAGAACCAAAATGCTGGGTTGAGAGAGATAAGACCTGGGTAGACCTGACAAGAAGTAGCTAGCTGCTCTCACCAGGCCTCAGTTTCCCCATCTGTAAAAAAAGAATCTTTGCCCAACCTATATCTGAATACAATGCTTACTGCCCTGGAAACGGCTGAAAAAACTACAAGGGGGTATTCACATCAGAAGGCGGGAGTAAAGAGCCTGTTCAAAGAGAGACCAGTCCCAGAGGGTCAGGGAGAAGGCAAGAACAAGACTGAGGGTTGGGTACAGAATATGTCTTGGGCCCTGGACGGTTTGGCTCAGCAGTTAGAGCATCAGCCTGCGGTCCAGAGAGACCTGGGTTCGGTTCCCACTAAGGGCACGTACCTTGGTTGCAGTTTGTCCCCAGCCCTGGTTGGTCGTGTGGGTGGCAGCCACTCGATGTGTCCCTTTCACATCGATGTTTCTCTCTCTCTCTCTTCCTCTCTCTCCCTCCCACTCTATCTGAACAAAAAATGGGAAAATGTCCTTGGGTGAGGATAAAAATAAATAAATAAATAAATAAAAATATGTCTTGGCCTCGTAAATGCACTGAAGGGGATGAGGGGGCGCTTGGGTTGACATTGAGAGAGAAGGGGGGAGCAGCTCCTATCTAGCATCTTCTCACAAGCAGCAGCCTGTGTCTCCAGGACACAGACGGGCAGCAAAACTCTTCTACTCTAGTAATGTACCAGTGAGACAGGCAGAGGGCACAGGCTGATTCCAGGCTTATCAAAATCCCAGCATTGCCCAGCTGGTATGACTCAGTGGTTGAGCATTGACCCATGCACCAAGGGGTCGCCGGTTCGATTCCTGGTCAGGGCACATGCCCAGGTTGTGGGCCCAATCCCCACTGGGGGCATGCAGGAGGCAACTGATCGATGTTCTCTCTCATTGATGTTTCTATATCTTTCTCCCTTCTTCTCTCTCTCTAAAATCAATAAAGAAAAGAAATTAAAAAACAACAACAACAAAAAAACCAGCATCCCTGAGGACAGGGCCGGAGAGTCTCCAGTTAGAGTCACTGAGCCAAAGTCCCATCAAGGCCACAATGTGTATCCAAATTAAGGAGCCCCCATTACTCACCCCTGACATCCCTGCAGGAACCCAGGAAGTAAAAGGAGGACCCGAGACACCCTGCTAGCCCGAGAGACTCTCCCTGAGACTGCGCGTTTTCTGAGGGCATGACCTGTCTGCCTGGGTGGCTGCTCCAACTCCAGTGCTTAGCACAGGGCCTGGCAGGGGGTAGGGTCGGCCTCGAACATTGACTAAATGAAAGAATCCATGCCCCAAATGGACTTGGGAAACCGACTTCATCAAATCCACCTGCCTGGGAGAAGGAGAACTACTCCTTCCCTCTTCTTTTTTTTTTTTTTTTTTATCCTCACCCGAGGATATTTTTCCATTTTTTGTACAGATAGAGTGGGAGGGAGAGAGAGGGAAACATCGACGTGAAGGGACACATCGAGTGACGGCCACCCGCACGACCAACCAGGGCCGGGGACAAACTGCAACCGAAATACGCACCCTTAGCGGGAACTGAACCCGGGTCTCTCCAGACCGCAGGCCGACGCTCTAACCGCTGAGCCAAACTGGCCAGGGCTCCTTCCTTCTTCTTGCTTACGTCCCTGAATTGGGCCTACTGCTCTGGGTTGGTCTTGGGTTTCAACTGTAGAGGGACAGCCATGCAGTACCTCCTTGTGGCCACAAGGGGGGAGAACACAGCTGTCTCAGGGCCCACACTCAATCCTGGCTGGCTGACAGGAGGTCCTGGAGTGTGGGTGAGACTTCAGGAGTAGCCGAATGCAGGTCTCCTGGAGCCAGTCCCAGAGGGATTGAGGGAGAAGCTGAGGTGGTCAACATGGTCCCGGACTCTAGGGCTTAAAGCAGCTCTTTGGCTCAGTGGTTAGAAGGTTGCCAGTTCGATTCCCGGTCAAGGGCATGTGCCGGGGTTGCAGGTTTGATCCCCAGGCCCCGGCCAAGGTCTTGCGGGAGACATCGATCTCCCCCTTCCTCCCTTCCACTCTGTCTAAAAATTAATGGAGCCCGGCCGGTGTGGCTCAGTGGTTGAGCATAGACCCATGCACCAAGCGGTCGCCAGTTCAATTCCTGGTCAGGACACATGCCCAGGTTGTGGGCCAAATCCCCAGTGGGGGGCATGCGGGAGATGGCCAATTGATAATCTCTCTCATTGATGTTTCTATCTCTCTCTCCCTCTCCCTTCCTCTGTCTCTCGGGAATCAATAAAGAAAAAAAAAATTAATGAAAAAATATCCTTGAGTGAGGATTAACGACAACAACAACTTGAAGTACCTGCTGAAGCAGGCCAAGGCCCTCTGGTGTGAAGGGCTACAGTGAAGGGCAGCCACCCTTCCTCCTGTCTGGATCCCTGAAGCACCTGTCCCATGTCCTTTCATTCCCCCCTAAAAGCCATTCTCTCATGACAGCCAGGGAGGATCTCCTGCTCAGAATCCTCCGCAAGCTTTTCATCAGCCCTGGGATGAAATCCCCACTCCGCCCCACGGCTCAGGGTGCTCTGGCTCTAGCCTTTCTCCCCCACGTCGCCCCCGACCTGCCGGAAGGGCCTTTGGGGAACAGGGCTGTTATCTGCCCTAGAACCCGGGATCTTCAGAAGTTTGCAGCTTTAGGTCTAAATTCAAATGTCCGTCCCCAAGCCAGCTTAGCCAACGATACCTACATAACCCTCTCACACCGCCCTACTTTAGCTTCTCCACAGCACGTGTCATTCTCTGAGATGATCTGTTTCCTCATTTGGGGGGGTTAGATTCTGATCTGTTTCCTCCATCAGAACATCAGCTCCGCAGAACAGGTACCATGTCCATCTTCAAGTCCCAGCACCCAGAGCCACAGTGGCTGCTCAGTAAATATTCATGAATTAGGGAATAAAAGAGGATAAATATTCATGAATTAAGGGATAAATTAGGGAATAAAAAGAGGGATCAGAATGAAGTTAGATCCATCCACGAAGTCTTTCTGAGAGAAGTTTAAGCAAAAGGGACAGAGGGTGGGCAGCAAGGGGAAAAACCAGACCTGCTGGGCAGTGCGGCTACTTTTTGGGTGTGATGATAAACCCTGGCAGAGGGAGGAAAGGGCGGGACAGGGATGCCCTGAGCTCTGCCTCCCAATCCTCCACATACCCCCATACCCACACCCAGCCCCCTCTCTCTGCGAGGCTGGCCACCTGGGTATTCAGCAAGGCCCCAGGACCCCGGTGTGCAGCCCTGCAAGTCTCACACTCGTTCCCTGAACCCAGGAGGTCAGCTTCCAGCTCCTAGGTGTGCCCGTCATGTGGCAATCAGGGCTGGGCCTCACCTCCTACCCACACTCAAGTTCTGGCAGATCTGAGGTAGGGTGGGGGCAGGCCTGTGGGAAAACAGGGGTTTGCTGGTATGCTCAGAGAGGGAACTAGGAGATCGACCAGCATTGGAAACAGTTGACGCAGAGCCAGCTTCCTGGCTCTGCCTGACCATTAACCTGCTGTGACGTAGCCAAAGCAATGCAGAACCCAGGCCAGTTCTCCTGCCAGCCATTACCTGAACTGCTGGGCCCTCCCAGAGAGAACCCCCACCTGCCAACCACTGGACACTGGACATTCAGGAAACACACTCACAGTATAGACGGGGGCGGGCCAGGAGCTCGGGCAGAGCCACTGGTGAGCACTTACCCCATAAGTCCCATCAGCTGAAACCGTCCTTGAAGTTCCATCAGGAAGGCACCAAATGGAAACATATCGTATGTCTAGTACAACCAGTATTTTCTCCAGCACAAGAACAGAATTTCTCTGGTTGTGCACGTGAAGCGGCTGGCTTGTGTTTAGAGGCATTATTAAAAAGTACCTATCTTTGCCCTGGCTGGTTTGGCTCAGCAGTTAGAGTGTCAGCCTGCAGACCAAAGAGTCACGGGTTCGATTCCGGTCAAGGGCCTGTACCTGGGTTGCAGGTTCAATCTCTGGCCCTGGTCAGTGTCGGGATGGAGGCAACCAATCGATGTGTCTTTCTCACATCGATGTTTCTCTCTCTCTCTCCCTCCCTCCCACTCTGTCTGAAAACAAATGGAAAAATATCCCCGGATGAGGCTTAAAAAAAAAAGTACCTATTTTTTTTTGTTTCATTAATTAATTAATTTTTGTTACAGATGTTTCTTTCTCCCCCCCCCAGACACCCTCCTCCCTATCCTGCCCCATCCCCCAAGCATTGTTGTCTATGTCCATCGGTTATGCATACATGCATATAAGTTCTTTGGTTTATCTCATCCCTCTTCCCACACCCCTCCTCCGAGGTTTGTCAGTCTAAACCGTACTCCAATTTATGTCTTCAGGTCTGTTTTGTTCATCAGCTTAAAAGCACCCATCTTTAAACGCTAGAACTTTAGACACTCGAGCCAGAACTAGAACTAGCTTTACATACATACTTGGTGTGGCAAGATGCTCAGACCACGTGGGCACCTGGAAAGCACGGCGACTGCAGATTCATCCTGGGACAGGTGCTCACTGAGCGCCGCTAACCTCTTAGCTCTCTGTGTCCGTTTTGCCAGGAGAGTACAGTTAATTCACTGAGATCGACACAGGCACGCGCTCCAGTGCCGCCGGTGGCCGTGTGGGCTGCGCCACAGAGGACGCCTGGTCAAAGGGCTGATGGGGACTAAAGGCAGCCTGCCCCCAGCTCTCAGGGCACAGGTCTAGTTCACACGAGGCGGTGCGTGGGCTGGCTGGGGCCCTTCGAAGGCCATGGCTCCACAGGGCAATAAAGAGGCAAAACCGATCCAGGCTCTGGAATCCTGGGGTTTGAACACTGGCCTTGCCACACTGTCTGTGTGACCCTGGGTACATTGCTTAACCTCTGTATGCTGTGGTTTCCTTATGCAAAGAATGTGGATAATTATAGTACCTACCTCACCAGACCACTGTGATATTTTGATGAGACCGGGCATCTAGAGCACTTAGCGCAAGACTTGCCACGTGGGGAGACATCAATAAGCCGGCTAACATTATCAGCAGCGTTAGTATTAGGAAGACAGGGAAGTCGATTGGTTGCTAAAAAACCCTAGAGCCCGATGGATGATGGTGTTCGGAGGTGTCCGGATCGTCTGTTGCTGTAGAGGCCAAAGTATTCCCGCTTTAGCATGTCTGGCCAGAGTGGACCTGACCACAGCCATTCTCATTTGTCAGTTCTTCATTCCTTTTGCTCCCGGAGTTGACTCTATGCTGACAGAATGGCAGTTAATGAGCTCCTTCAGTCACTGTTTATTAATTAGTAAGAATTCATTACACACGAAAACTTGTGTCCTCCAGAAAACCTCCTGGGAGGTGCTCCGCCCACCGCAGTCAGTTTTTCACGTGGCCCCTCCAGTAGCACCAAGTGCACGTGGCATCCCTGTCCCAGGCCATCTGTGCTTAGTGTGTGTCCCTCAAGCTTCATCTCCTCCGGTAGCTCTATGAACACAGAGGAGGCTTCCTCCGGCCAGAGAGGGACAGGATGTCCAGGACTGGCGTGTGGGGGCAGCATGACCATTGAACTGAAGTGCTTCTGGGGTTCATAAAAATTGCTCGTGAATGACTGTAGCCCTCCCACTCTACGCCTGCCGCCTGTGTGCATTGCATCAGGTTGGGTGAAGAGGCTCTTAAATAAGGTCTTGCTTTGTCTTGGCAGCGCTAGTCCGTGTTTTAGAACCACCCTATTACACCAGGAACTGGTTGGGCCACCTGAACCTCATTGTGGAGAAGGTTGCTTGATTAGGATGTTTTGTTACTCTGAAGTGATCAATTCCTAGGCTGGGGGAGTGGAGAGGGGGTGGGATAAGTCAATGAAATGGAGTAGGCACTCAAAATTCAGTACCTTGGCCCCATCTCCAACTGGTTAGCTCTAAGACCTGCTTTGCATTTATTCTCTGTTCCGTGTCTTAGCTCAAAACAGTCCTCTCTCTATAGACCCAATAGTAAAAGATGAGCAGGTGGATAATGGGAGGGCTCCTTCCCCGAAGGAGGAAAGTGTACACCTTGGTGGAAGGATGCTTGAATTCCAATCTAACAAATGTTGGCTGCACCTGTACTCTGTGTAAGGCACAGTGCTTGGGGGGTAGAAAGGTGGTTCAGATATAGTTCTGACCTCAAAGAACTTAATATTCTGAGGGGAAAATAAGAAAACAACATGAGTCACTCTAGGCGCAATGTCAGAGAGCTACAAATGAATCGATATGGCAATTCTGAGAAGGGCGAAATGTATGGGGGAGGGGGCAGGAGGACGATGGGAGAAATCAGAGAAGCTTCGTCCAAGATAGCTGTTGGGTACTGAGAATCAGAGATGAGAGAAGGGCATTTGGGGAATAAGGAACAGCATGGGAAGATGCTTAGAGGAGGAAAAAGAAGAGTATATTTGCTACAGAGTCTGGTTTGGCCAGAATGTAAGGAACGTGTGAAGTCAGCGTAAGAAGAAAAAGTTAGAAAGGCAGGTTGAGACCAGAGCATGGAAGGTCTTCAAAGCCAGTCTAAGGAGTGGAGATAGAATTGGGTAGGGTGGAAAAGAGCCTGAATTATAGGAGAGGATGAAGGATACAAGGAAAAGAGACAGACAAAAGGAGAAAGATTGGGTGCCACTGCCAATCCCTTGGAAGGACAGGTCCAACCTGTCTCCATCCCAGCTTCATCTGCATGAAGAACCGCATTGCCATCTCACCTTGCGATTGCCCGAGGCAGGGTGTGAATTGAGAAATCCGAGGTAAATGGGGAACCGTCCACACCTCCCCTCCCAGAGCCCCAAGGATGAGCGACAGGATCTGGGGGTGAGTCAGTGGGGTGGGGACCCCATTTCTGCTCGCATCTGCCTCCCTGGAAATATAAAGGACAAGCGGTGAGGCCCCGCCTCAGAGCACCACAACCTTGACACCATGAAGATCCCGGTTCTTCCTGCTGTGGTTCTTCTTTCTCTTCTGGCGCTCTACTCTGCCCAGGGTGTTCCCCTGGCTGGCTCGGAGGTGAGCACCTCGCCCGGACTCTCTTTTTCTGATGCCGGTGACCTCACTTACTCTCCCATGTCTTTACCTTCTGTCCATTCCTGGATAAGTGCTTCTTATTTCTGACTATTATCAGGGGCTGAATGAGAAGCTGGGGCTCCGAGGAAGGGAAGGGAGGGGGAAGGAAACAAAGCATTCCTGGGAAGACCTGTAGGAATGGAGATGCTTGTATTTCTGGAAGGGATGGTGAAGTATAGGGTGGAGACTGGGCGGCTGAACTCTGGGAGGAGACGGGCTGAGGCTGGTGGTCTGGGTTCAGCTTCACCTTTGTTTCATTCATATCCCTGGGAATGGTTTCCAGGCGCCTGCAAGTTCCTTTCCTGCCCCTGGAGCCTAGGCCATAGCAAAGATCCTGGCGAGCCAGTGTCTAGAGCCAGGATGAATCCTGAGGCCCCTCTCTCTCCGTCCTGTCTCGAGGTGGAGGGAGAATGTGCACGCTGAATTGAAAAGCCTATGAGAGGGCTCACAAACTCAACCGCTTAGGATCCACGCAGGCGACGTTGATGAGCAGAAGGGCTGGCGGGGCCTCCGGGGAGGTGGGGTGAACTTGCCCCGTCTAAAAGGGGACAGTCTGTATCCCATCTGCCTGCTGCTAAGAGGAAAAATGTACCCAGTGTGGCCAGAGTTTTAAAATGTTCAGGAGAAACTGGAAAGCTGATTTATGAATTCTTACTAATTAAAAATGTTTAATTAAAAAAAACAAAAAACGGCCAATCTACTATGAGATCTAAACATTTGGGTTTTGCCTGTAGGCAACTTGTTTGCAACCTCTATTGTGGGAAGGAAGGAATAAGAGACCGTAAGATGGGCACGCCGGGAGAGCAATAGGATGGGCCGCAGGGAGGTCTGGGGGAGTTACCAAATGCAGGACAGAGATAGAGACGGGGATTTTGGTGGCAATAAAGTCACAAAGCAAACCAACCTTAATCAGTTCAGGGCAGGTAGGGCACTTCAGCAGCTTGGCTTCCGCCAGCATGATAATGTCCCCCGCCCAGCTCTCTGGGCTAAGTGTCCCTGTCTCAGGAACACCCCGAGTCAACTGCAGAACAACTGGAGCTCGTTTTTCCGGGGAGGAGTCCTCTTTCTCCACCCGTTCCACCTGATGCAGCTCTGGGGTTTTGACTTCTGTTACGCATGCCCTTCTCTTCACATTGTGCATCTATCTGTCTGCCATCCGCCTGTGGGAACAAACGTTTAACGGAGGCCCCGTGGTGGAGAACGGGCTCTATGCTCTGGACTGGCGGGGGGTGGGGGTGGGGAGGAAGGCAGAGCTAGTTGAGAGCATTTGGGACGGGGGATTTGCTGTCACGTGATCATTTGACTCCTTTCTTCCCTTCACTTTCCAGGAAGAAACCACCATTGGTAATTATGCCGCAGGACCCGAGGTAAATCCCCACTTCCCACCCTGCAGCCATGAGTTTGTCCCCCACCCTCTTTTGTTATTAATTTACTTTTGTTACAGATATTTTTCCTTTTTCCCCCATTGACACCCTCCTCTCGACCCCCTGCCCCCACCCCATCCCCAGCATTGTTGTCTAAATCCATGGTTACACATACATGCATATATGTTCTGTGATTTATCTCTTCCCTCCCCTGACCCCCCACCCCGATCCCCTCTTCTGAGGTTTGTCAGGCTGTACCCTAGTCTCCATCTCTTCATCTTCGGGCTCCTTAGCAATTTTTCTAACACCCGCTTCTTTTCCTAGGCCGTCAGCACTCAGTTCCTGAACATCGACAAGTTGCGATCTGTAAGTACAATTCCCTGGTGTTGCCCCCACGAATATCCGTGTCAGAAAGGAGACCTGGGCAGCGAGCTTGCAAAGCTGTCACGGTCCCTTCACCTTTTCCGGAGACCTAAGGGCTAAGCTTTGTCCTCTCCTGGAACCAACTCTCTTCTGGTCTCTCTCTCCCCACAGGCTTTTAAGACCGACGAGTTCCTGAACTGGCATGCCCTCTTCGAGGTCAGTGCCCGGTGCTTTTTATTGCCCTTGACTGCTTGCAGCCTGCCCAGGGTAGTGGCAACACATGCTAGCTCTGGCCCCTGGGTTCCTTCCTGAGTTCTAGGACACAACAGCTGCCCTGCTTGGATCCGCCCAGTGAAGAAAGTTTCCCCAGGAGGCTAGCCCTTATTTTCCCAACGTGGCAGGGGGGGAGCAGGGGCACAAAGACAAATGCAGAAAAGGAAGACCTCGAGTAGTCAAGAGTTTATTTGAATCCCCCCATCCTCTATGGAGAAACTAAGGTCCAGAGTTGGGCGGCTTACCCCAACTGAGAAGGCGGATTCGGTGACAATGCCGGGACATGCTTGCTATGTGCCCTCATGCGAATGTCTTCAGTTCTCTGAGCCTCAGTTTCCTCACTGTGACGTGGGAGATAACAGTACCTACCTGAGAAGGTTGCCATGAAATCATGCCTGTACAGCAGTGAGTACGTGGCAGACACAGGACATGTTAGTTCTTACCAATTACACAACAGTAACACCATCGCCGCGCCAGAGAGCTCATTCAGTGGGTGCTTGCTGATCCGTGCTCAGCTCACCTGTGGCCCGTCTCTCATGCTCTTTTTCTGTTTCAGATGATCAAAAAGAAGCTTCCTTTCCTCAACTGGGATGCCTTTCCCAAGGTAAGAGGCAGCAAGCTTTGGGAGGGTAAGGAGGCTGGAGTTGGGGGAGAGCAGAGGATCTGGAGGGGGAGTGGGGAGAGTGAGCAGAAGATAAACCTTCTCACCAGAGGGAACGCTCAGCTCAGTGGTTAGAGAATGGGGCTTAGACTGGGCAGAGGGTCCCAGTGCCCCGCCCTGTCATGGGCTCGCTTATGGAGAACTGCAGCTTCCTGCACACAGGGGTCCCGAGTCTGACCGTCCCTCTCTCCCTCCAGCTGAAAGGATTGAGGAGCGCAACTCCTGATTCCCAGTGATCACTCCCTGCAAGACCCAGCACCGGAAGACAGGGCTAATGTGGGATCTGATCACCAGTCTACAGTCACTGTGTCCTGGCTCAGTAGCTCCAATAAAATGTTCTCCAACCAAATAGCTCCTGCATCTGCGTCTCTGTCCTTATCCTACCGGGGTCTAGGAAGGGATTCAGATAGAGTGGGCTCCAAGGCTGGTAGGCAAACAGTCCTGAGTTCTGAGAAGGTAGTAAGTAGTAAGATGGGAGGAGGTGGGAAGGGCATTTCAGGATGGCAAGACACCCCTTGTGTCTTAGCTCCTTAGCACTGGCTGACATCCTTGAGGAGCGTGAAGCTGTGAGTTGCTTGGTAAGATGCCTAAGGAATCAAACCTGCTCCCAAACTACTGGCACCCTTCCCCTCCTGCCCTTTGAGAACCACATTCCTTCGGTGGTGGCAATTTGGTATAACAGAGCTATCTGGAGTCCAAGGCTGAGGACCCAGCGTAAATCATATGAGACCATCTGAAATTCTTTTTCTTATTTTTTATTAGGTAGGTTATATATAAAGAAAATGAGTGGTATGATCTTGAGTGGTGTGATCCTGGGCCTTTCTAAGCAACCATTTCTTTATCTATGGAAATAAACAAGAATGATAATAATGACCTTGTGGTGTTGTGATGAGATAAGGTATGTGAAGTCCCTTGCACAAGGCCAAGTATGTAGTAGATACTCAACAATAGCTTGTTCCCTCCACTCCCCCAAAGAGCTGCCGCGTGACCCAGGTTCATTATTTACTCATCCATCCATCCATCCATCCATCCATCCATCCATCATTGCAAAGGTCTTGAAACATGAAATGGATTCAGTTTCAGTTCCTGCAGATGTATTTGGCATGGAATCTCTGTGTATTCTGCGTGCCTACTCTGTCTCTTAAAATGTTGAATTAGTTGGAATCATTGTTGGTTTCTCTTGAAAACTGGGAAAATCAGAGAATAGACCTGTGATTGGCTTAAATCGAAGTCACAGGTGCCCTCCTCACACGGACATGGCTTCCAGATGAGTCAAGTCCACCTGGCAGGCCTCACTTGTTTACATCGCCTTTTGGCCTCTGTCTGCGGCCGAGTTTGCAAACTGTGGCCTGGAGCTAACTTGGGGAAGTGGACTACCAAGGGAAATTAAATTTGCGTGGAGGCATGAAAAACTTCTTACTCTCTTAAATTCTGTGGTTGGCTTAAGAAGAAAATGGACATAAGACAGATTAACAGGAGAAAAGCATACAAACTTATTTAATATTTCTTTTACATGTACAATGGAGTCTTCAGAAGAAAAATAAAGACTCAAGGAAGCCATTAGGCCCAAAAGCTTATCTACCTTTTTATTTAAAAAAAATTTTTTTCTTTATTGATTTTAGAGAGAGAGGAATGGAGAGGGAGAGAGAGAGAGAAATATCGATGAGAGAGAACATTGATTGGCTGCTTCCTGCACACCCACTGGAGATCCGGCCCACAACCTGGGTATGTGCCCTGATTGGGAATTGAACCGGTGACCTCTTGGTGCATGGGTCGACGCTCAACCACTGATCCACACCAGCTGGGCTTATATACTTTTTTAGACAAAGAACAACAAATTGTGAGGATGTGACAACACAAAGGGGCTTGGACTAGGGCAATCAACTGTGGGACAGTGAATAGGAAATGAGGGGGAAAACTAACAGAAGACCAGGGTTAGTTTAGTAGGTTTGTTTGTACAGACTGGAGCCAACTCCCAGACTCTGGTGATAAATATTGTTCTTCTTGGTACAGGGAGGGCACTTTTCTTTCTTATTTTTTTGTGTGGTATGTGCCCCTAGCAGGAACCGAACCCAGGACTCTTTGGTCTGCAGGCCTATGCTCAACCACTGAACCAAACTGGCCAGGGCGGGAGGGCACTTTTCTCAAGGAAAATGTTATAACTGCTTTTAGGTAGAAAAGGGGAGGACAGAGAGCCCTTCCTGCATCCTCTCTGTCTCAAGGGTCTTCAGCCCCAAATCATCAATGTACCAAAGTGGCACACTTTGGGGTGGCCTATTCTGAACCCCTTCACTTGGTTCCTGCTTTCAAAGAGCTTACAGACTAGATGCCTAAGACATGTAAGTGTGGCTCATACCTTTCCTTCTGGCTCACTAACAATAATAGACACACACATGCACATGTGAGAAGCAACTTGTAAGTGGGATCATCAACAGAAAAGCAAAAAAATGGAGACTGGTGAAATGCCAAAATCCATTAAAATATTAATCAAAGATTGAATGCTCACGAATTGGGTGATAGAAAAGGGAGTAGAGGGAACATGAAGGGAGATCGCAAGACACATTTTTTCAAGTGACTAGGTTTTAGGGAAGGACAAGAGTCATCACACAGAAGTCAAGACTATCTTTGAGGTAGATAGTCTACCTTTGCTCTCCAAGCACAGTCCTGGGATCGGCAGCAGCACAGAAACTTACAAGACCAACTAAAGCAGAAACTGCAGGGCTCAACCCTCTGTGTTTCAACAAGCCCGCTAGGCGATTCTGATGCACGATACTCATGGGGCAGGGTGGGGGGGGGGGAGGGTAGGGGGCCATGAAGCCCAATAAATCAATACCAGCTCACATCACACGTCTCACCAAATTAGCTTGACCAAATATAGCAGGCACATTTTTAAGTTGCTAATTTTGTACGGCCTGTGAATGATGTTATAAATATCCAAATGGCCCTTGGCAGAGAAACCGTTCCCCACCCCTGCCGGAGCCCAAGAACCACTGAGAAAAGGAAAACTAGAAGATGACTAATGCAAAATTCAGGGTAGGAGTTCCCCTGCTGGGGAAAGTGGAGGAGGAAGTGGGTGACAGGAGGCTTCCACTCTTAGTGTTTTCATTTTTTCCTTAAATATATTGCAGGAGAGGAAAAAGTCTATTTCCCTCTACCCTTCCAGGTCCTTGGCTGGTTCTCTGCAACAAAAGACAGATTAATAAGAAAAAAGGATACATATTTTTTTTCTTTATTGATTTTAGAGAGAGAGGAAGGGAGAGGGAGAGAGATAGAAACATTGATGAGAGAGAACATTGATTGGCCGCCTCCTGCATGCCCCCCACTGGGGATCAGGTCTACAACCCGGGCTTGTGTCCTGACTGGGAATCGAACTGGCGACCTCTTGGCGCATGGGTTGATGCTCAACCACTGAGCCACACTGACCAGGCCAGATTTATTTAATATAAGTTTTATGGGACATGGGAGCCTTCATAAGAAAATGAAGACCTGGAGAAGAGAGGTTAGACCTGTATGTTTTTGTGCTCAGTTTGATGAAGAGTGGGAAGTCATGGGAAATGTGATAGGACAGCCATGTGGTAAACCGTGGGAAACTTAGTAGATTCCCCTTGGGCGTCCCTCGGTCTCAGAGATAAAGCCACACGGGCCGGACTGAGGGCACTTCTCACATGAGGGTCTTAGGACCTGCTTCGGGGGAAAGTCATTCCTGCATCTATTTTCTCAAACTCCTTCAGCTTGGAATATTGAATATGCGGAGATATCCTATTTTGAGGTAGTGTGTCCTGTACTCTGTCAGTATACATTTTATACATACTTATGTGTCTTCACAATAATATGTTATTAAAACAAAAGAATGTCTTTGAGTAACTTGCGAGCACTAAGGGAATACAGAGCAAAGAAACAATTTGAGTCTGGGGAGGGACTAGAACCTAAAAAAAAAAGTGTAGACATGCTTTTGTATAGGAGTGATGGATGGATTCTAGAGCCAATGAAACTGACGAAAACGTACCAACATGAGCTAGGTAACTCAGAGAACTGGAAGAATGGAAGACAAGACACGTGGTCTCTCTGGGGAATGTGTAGGATGAGGATGAATCCAAGAAGTGGTCACACTTTACTGTATACTTCATAAATATACCCAATACACCTGTGTGGACACCATGCCACCCACCAAGCAAGGCGTAGAGATGTGTGTTGAGATATAGAACAATCTCTAAGATATAGTAAAAAGAAAATGACAGAGCAGTGTGAATAATATGTTTAAAGAAGAGAGAGGGTACAAATATATGCTCTTCTATGTATAAAAATGTTTCTAGAATAAAGCTCAAGAAGTAACAGTGATCACCTCTGGGTGTTTTTTTAATTTTTTTATTTTATGAAAAGAAAATTTTTTTTTACCATGTATACTATTACATATTCAAAAGAATAAATTTAAAAACTAAAACTCTGCACCTGAAACTAATGTAACTAATATAATATTGTATACCAACTATACTTAAAAAATAAAAGTAAAAAATAAAACTCTCGCCCTGGCCAGTGTGGCTCAGTTGGTTGGGCGTCATCCCATGCACTAAGGGGTTACTGGTTCAATTCCTGGTCAGGGCACATGCCTGGGTTACGGGCTCAGTCCCCTGTGGGATCGTGCAGGAAGCAGCTGATGGATGTTACGTTCTCACATCGATGTTTCTCTCTCTCTCTCTCCCTTCCTCTCTCTCTCAAAATAAATGAACTATTCTTTAAAATAAAACTCTCTTATAACACACACACACACACACACACACACACACTCACACATGCATACATACAAACTTTGTATTTTAAAGTGTGGTCCTTGAACCAGCAATATCAGCATCACCTGGGCTTGTGTGAAGTGCAGAATCTCAGCCCGCCTTAGAGACAATACATCAGAATATGAATTTTAATTAGACGTCCCCCACCCCACCTCGCCAGGATTCATGCGCACAGTGAAGTTTGAGAAGCACTGCTTGAGACATGATGTCAAGCACTGTACCGATGGCCTTCAAGGAGCTTATGACCCAGCTGGAGATCAAGGACGTGCACAGGTAGATAGTGCTGGATATCACTAGAAAAGATGTGTTTAAATTAAATTCAGGAGAAAGGAGAATGTCCTTTAGAATCAGGGTAAGAAAACTAAGAGAAGTCGTTTTTGAGCTGGGTACTGAAGAATTCATCATGGTACTAAAAAAACACCAAACTCTTTGGTTACCTTTAGAGGCTG